TCAATGCTATCTTGATCGGGAATTGTACCCATTACACAGATCGCATTGCCCCGTTGTATCTGTACTTCGCTTACTGCCTTATATGGGCTCCCCTTGTATTAGTCTCCCTTATCTGGGCTCCCGAGCAATATGGGTAACCCTCTACATCGGCGCCTACGTTATTACTCACAGTTTTGCAGCTGTTATCAGTGTTATGACTGAATGAAAATTTAGATTTCTTTAAAATACTGAAAAAAATAATGTGATATGAAATTTCGGCATTTTTTAGTTTGTTCATTGGCAAATCCGGTTGAAACTAATTAAAAATATATATAGATAATATAATTATATAAATTTAATTCGAATGTGAAATTTCGGAATTTTTTGGTTTGCTCACTTGTAAATCCGGTTGAAAGAAATAGAAAAGGGTTCTGCTATAAATCCGATAAATAATTTGACGGGTGTTGCTCACTAGCCGGGAGCCCAGATAAGGGAGAGTAATGTAAGGGGAGCCCATATAAGGCAGTAAGCGAAGTATAGAGAGTCGCTGTCTAAAAAACTCTTTCGCACATTTCGGTCCTGTGGCGGTGGCGATGCCGCTTCCAACCTTCTCCACGAGGCTTTTGTGTTCAATCTCCCCACGGTCCGTAAATTTCGAGTGCTGCCGCCATGAAATTGTACCGTGGTTCAGCCAGCTGTGTTTCGTCAGTTTCGCTCTTTCGGCGTGTTCAGCTGCGGCCCCGGCGTTTATCGAAGTACGATCGATATATGAGGCAGCGAGCGTGTCCACGCAAGTCACGTCGACAGCCAGAGGCTTTCCGCGTTCCCATGGTACGAGTGTGATCACATCCGGCCTTTTGCGATCTTTGGCTGAGAGACCTTTCGGCTCCATTCTGGCTGGGAAACCGGCGGTCTTTAGTCTTCGAGTGAACTCCCCGCTGATACCGTCGTGTCGTGGCAGCCGTCCGGCAGATCGTTTGCAGCGGAGTCCGTGCTGGCCTAATTCGTCAACCAATCCACCGCACACGCATACGTGCGGAGATACGATTGGAGCACCTAAACGCAACGCTACGCTGATGCGGAGAACATTATTTTCCAGCAGATCACCGAGGCTTGCTGCGGGCAATGCATGAATCCACACGCCGGATTCCCACTTGGACACAGTGACGCAGAACGTGCTGCGCGCCGCTCATCCACATGGAACCGTATCATCACCTCGCCAACACTAACAGCCACGATTGTCATTTTCACCTGGAAACACGGACCGTATGCCCGTTTTCTCATCGCAGCGGTCATCTATAAATGCCTGCGCGCCCACACCCGATACATTGTAATGGCCAAAGGCGAGGGGCGTCCTTACATCGAGGATATTTTGGCGCTGTCGGGCATGTTCCGGTACATTGCGGAATCCGCCTAAATTGTAAATTCTAGCGAAAAAGCATGCGCTGCGCTCTCTTGTAGCATTTACGGTTTTGTCATTTTTGGTAATTTAAAAGGTCTTTCTTATGCATTTGTAATAATTTCCTAAAAATCTGCTCTCAGCTGCTTGGCGTTCTGCTTCGTCGTCGTTGTATCCCTGCTTCTTTCATGCTTTTCACGGAATCCAGCCGACAACGGTAGTAGCCGGTATTAGTGATCAGTAGCCGTTGTCGGCTTGTCTGACACCCCACCACGCGTCCGCAGCGCCGCACCACAGCGTCCCGTCGTCGTCCAAGATATCAACGCTGCGGGCATAGCCGGCTGTGGCTACCGATCACTTCGGTCGTCTTCATTTCGGTCAAACTTTTTCGGCCGCCATTAAGGTCGGCCGTCATTCACTACGGCTATAGAACAATACGGCCGGCGCTCACTTTGCTTTGATGAGTGCAGGAAACGCTTCCGCTTCTTTCGTTATAACTTTGTGATATAACTTTGTCGGTAACTTAAATCCAACAGAAGTGTTAGCACATGACCTTGCATTAACGTCCAGTTGGGCAAAGCTTAAAGGAACCATTATTCGATGCCTTTTCGTGGTTGGGCACATTGAACGCATTGTCAAGTTCAGCATTTTCTTGTAGAGAATTTTGCTGTCTTTCCGGGTATAATTATATGTAGCATTATGGTATAGGTGCTTTAGTTTTCTGGTTACACACCAAAAACTCGGACGCGGCAAGAGAATCTTGAGTGCAAGCGCCGATGTAACCGGCTGGCCATGGTCACATACGGATAGGACAGGCAGGCCGTTCAGGTATCCAGTACTGATTGCCTTATTGTTTGGGGTCTCCTTTAGTCACTGACAGTTTTGAGAGGCATCCCTATACCACAATGTAAAAAAAATTGGCATACTACCTAAGTTTGGAATAAAAGATATTTCAGGATAACTACAGTACGATAGTTAATGACGTGAAGGCGCACTAAACTAAGATAGTGCGCCCTCACGACTCTGCATAGTAACAAGAAAACCGAAAGATCTCATTTTCAATGTGTTTAACTTGGTTGGTTAACATTTATTGAATTGATCGTTTTACGTTTAACCTTAGGATCTGGCTATAACTCTCGAACGAACGAAACAAAAAACCATTATAATTTGACCACTATCACCAGCAGCTCGAGGCTAATTTTGGAATTCAGGGACGGAAATTAAATGGAACGATCTCAGACGTTCCGTTATTCTCCAATAAGGCAGCGCGCCTTGGCATTGGAGAATTTGGCAGCCACAACAGCACTCGTATCGAGTACGATTTCGAATGAAAGATCTATGGTTATATTGTCCATAGAATACGGTGACTGAATACCTGAGGTTTTTCTGGTGTCATAGCAAGCATACTCGTACTCGTGTCATAGCAAGCGTACTCATAGCAAGCATACAGTGCGCACCGGCAGTCATCTGATCCCTAATCGAGAACTTTCGCATGCCCACATGGGCACATCCCTCTCGCCTTCGTAAAGTTACCAGTAGCATACACATCAATGCGGTTATTTATATGGCTACAGAAGACGACTTTTGTGGTAATCTCCTGAATTATCCCATACCAACATGCTAATGCGTTCTGCTGTTGGAAAACATCTTTGGCGTCTTTCGAATACGCCATAAATGGGAATTTAAAACGATTTTTATTTGAGAAGAAGGCCACCACGGTAGCCTAGATGCAACGCGTTTTTGAAGAGGTCATCTTTAGTTTTCAAATTCCTGGGATTTGTGACAAGCTCAAATCTGGAAAATCCCATATTCAAAAGGTGTTTGGATAAATTGAGTGATCGCGTGAAAGATTTTTCAGTTTTTTCGACCAGTGGTTTACGAGGATTTTTTAAAGAGAAACCACCAACTTGTCGCAACCACGGTGCAGTCCAGCGCATAAAAATTTTATCAACATTACTTGCTACAAGAAAAAATGTATTTAGTTGTCTTGTTGCGTTCTAAGTTTCAGTGGATATCTGGTCCCGGGATCTTAGGCATTTCCCGTTTGCAAGATATTTGCACGATAAACGCGTACATTTTCTCGATGGTTTTATTGCATGCAGGGAACCGTGTAAGTGCGGCTCCGTTAGGGTGGTTTTCAAGCATATCGTCTGAAGGCAGGCAACGCAGCGTAAATTGCATACCTGACAGTTTGCAATGGCATTTCCTAAAAGATCGAGATCACAAGCAAAGTGAACGAGCTTATCGTTCTAGTATCTAGCAGACATCAGGAAATACGTGAGATATCGGGAGCAGATATCCAATGAAAGGCAACCGACAACTGAAGCAAACTTGCAAAACTACGGTAGCGAATCTAGCGATTTTACCAGCTGTACGCAGTTGTATGCTGCCAGCCAGATCTTTCCTCGCATGCTAATTTTGAAAACAATGCAAGAATTTTAAATTGAATTTCTAGCAGTGCTGATTTCGCAAAGCACTGTCCTGCGGCACTGAATGTTTCCGAACATACAGGGTAGTAATGTTTTTGCAGACGAACACCATGCACAACTAATACGCTTGGGCAATGGCCGCACTGCATTACACATTCCGTGCGCCTTTCCACATACGCTACGTAGAAAACGTATGCAGAAAGACGAACGCAATGCGTAACTTTCAAGGAACGATTCCCATCCCGCACGAACAGAGCCGCATCGAGCGAGCCTTTTATTTATGCACGAAGAAAACAATAAATAAAAATGCGCCGGAATTTTGCAATTCAGCGGAATCTGCCATAGCTAACGATTTTCGATTATTGTTCAATTTTGCTGTAAAAATAAACCATAATCGTACATATTTTTTTCTCATATGAGTTCTCTGCTCGCCCACACCGCAACTTATCCATATTCAAGAAGTGTTACCACTGCAGCGTTTGGATTTTTGTTTATGTATACATACTGTATAGAAGTTCCGGATGTCGCAGTTGCGCTTCCGACTGTTCAAATCAAGTTAGTCTGGTCTAAAACTCTAAGCAAACTAGAGCTGTCATTAGGCATGCTTCGATTGAACCCGTTATGTGTTCACTCTGAAACCCTAATAAATCACAATGATCAGTTGACGGATTCAATCAAAGTACTTCAAAAGTGTGAGCGGATAGCGTGCAGGGCTCAGTATAATGAGCAGGAAATATTGCTTCGACCACAGTTTTTGGCTCGAAAAAACTTGTAGAAGCATTAGGCTGCTTTCGTGAAGCATTAGGCTTCATCGAGAAAGCGAAAAAATTGGGGGGAGCAAAATTTACGGAGGACTTGTTTTGGCCCCCGGACGGATTGGTCGGCGTTGCGCCAAATCGTCCGCCGGACGTCTTGCTCGCTCTGGCGTTTTGGTCGGTTACACAGCGATAAATCCTTGTCCAACATATCTGCGTTAGGCACAGAATATTCGGCTTGCGTTTCTTTCCTTCGCTTTCTGTGTACAATATTGTTATACTTTTTCCTTTTATTCTTTCTTTCTCATTATGTGCGATCTGTCTGATTTTCAAACGTTCAGTTGTTGTGCTGTTTCGTTCTGATTTAGAATTTGACTAGAGCGTTAGCGCTTTACTTTTTTTCAGTCATATTACAGTATACGTCGAGCGCCTATGCTATAAATTCCGTACTAAAAGTCTGTAATTTTTACTTATGATACGCCATTTTATAACAAGACGCAGCCTGTTGGTTGGATCGAGTCTGTTAGTCAGGTCGCCATTCTGGTCATCATTCGATCAGTCATTTCCATGTACAAGTTAAGAAAAGTTAAACACGACAAAGATTAACAAATTAAAAACAAGGGTGGAGAAAAACCACCGCGATTATCGACTACGTGCGCACGGCTCACAGGATTTGACTGCCTTAAAGGGCGTCGGGAATTCGGCCGCGGGTCCGCACGGTGGATTGCCGGTTTTACATGGCGGTGGTTGCATCCTATATTTAATAACAAAACAACCGTTTGATTTCCATACAAGCTTAGCCAATCACAACGGTGTTTACTTGGGTGCGCATTGTCCGCGCTTCGGGTACACACGGTCGCTGGCGGGACAGGATGGTTCGCCGGGGCGTGGCGACCGGCACAGCGGACCGCTCATCAATCGGCTGGCCGGAATGCTGTAGTCCTTCCAATTGTGCTTGTGCTCCTGGCACGTCTTGAACCTAAGTGAAAGAAACAAGGATTACAAGCCTGTCCGGTAATTTCCTACGTAAAGGTACAGAGAGCGCGAAGTTTGCGCTTATAGCGATGTGGCGTCACTTCACTACGTTCTTGAAATTTCGTAAATGCGCACAGCAGCTAGGTTGTCGCTTCCTGCACCAACCATTTTCTAGCCACCTTCCGCCATGTAGTTACTAATATTCTCATTAAATTATCTGGCGTGCACCAAGCCACCAGCCAGCGAAATGCATAGTACGTGCTTAGTCAGCATGGCCTGGCGCGCTGTAGTACTTGTATGGAGTTTGGCGTAACACGCACATTTGTATATTCCGCTGTATGGATTCGTCAGAAATTACCGGACAAGCTTCCGGTAATTTCTAACGAAACTGTTTAGCGCTTTTAGCATTAGACTTCGTAAAAACCTAGCCTTTCATTGATACACTTTGCAAAATGCATTTTTCAAGGCTCCTGATAGAAATGAATGTTTGACGATTTTTAAGGAATTTTCAGAACAGCAACTAATTTTATTAATAAGCACTGTAGTAAGCCGAGGATCTGAGTTTACTGCATCTAATATAATCTTTTTATGGCCAATTAATATATATTTTATATTCTCGGTGTTTAAAATACCGGCTAATAAAATATGGCTTAATCGTTTAAAATGCACGAAAATTCAAGCAGCGATAGCAGTATATTACTATCTGTATATGCCAGTTGGCCACGAAACTACCGGATACGAAGCTACTTACCATTGTGCATCGGTGATGAGCTGCTTAACATCCTTGCTGCTGATGAGCATCTTATCCATCTCCACAGCCTGCACCAACTCATCCTGCGTCATGTACACCCAGCGGACCAGCTTCATGAGATCGTTGAAATACGTGGTGCGCTGGCAGCGATCATGGTTGATCCAGCGCAGCGCGGCTTTAAACACATCCATTTCTGTCTGAAAGATCCCAGTTTTTTAAGAGTTTACCAAAACAAAATTTAATTTAATAAATATTGGAAGGAATTTGGAGAGCAATCATGTGTAAATAAATACAGTACATCCAAAAAGAGAAAGATGACATGAACGTACGTTAACGCGGATGTCGTCGTTACACAGGAGGCGGTACACCCGCTGGAAGGGCCAATCCAGGAAGCTGCAGGCTTGGACCTGGTTGTAGAATTTCTCCACCCAGTGACGATAGACGAATCGGACCAGCGGCTCGCTTTTGACGGCTTGTTCGGCAATCTAAGTTATAATTAATCGTTATTATAATAAGCGCAACAGCATATTCAGCAAACTTTATGGTAAGCTTTGTCAAATGGTTCTTAATTTCGCAGCTTATATTTATTTCTCAACACATATTTACTGAAATAAAATTACTGAGTTTAAAGGTTTCTGTTGAATGGACAAACGCATCAACTAATTAATCGCAATAGAGTAAATAAATGAACATAATCCGATCGAAAAATTTATTAAGTAAATAAAGAAATTCAAAAACGCCATTCTAATAAGCCATCTTTTAATTTGTTCAACCTTAAAACTCTTGAAAAACAAACAGTAAATGCGCAAATAAGCCGACCTTTTGAAATATTTCAGTCAGAAAATAAACTTAACTTCGAGGAAACTGTTTAATTTAATGAAGTTATAATAATTTAACATGCATTTCATCTACTTTCAAAACTACTGCATCTGTTTGTACCTCTAACATAATGGCCAGATTCTCATCCGCCATCAGATGGGTCATCAGCCGTTGGCAGGCGTGTATAATCGTCGGCATTTTCAGGTAAGTAGCCGCTTGGAACACCGGATAAAAGTTGAAGTAGTTCAGCCGGCAGCGCGCCGTGTACATGTAGTCGACAATCTGGCATACGGCCGGCGCCTCCAGACAGTTATCCAGCCGAATCTCGATCAGCTGTTTGTGGCTGCCGCAGCCCGGCGCCTGATTGGCCTCGTTGTGGATGTAGTTGCTCATCCATTCCGATGAGGCGCACAGGACGTAGCGGTGGGCTAGCGCCTCGCCGTTGCCGGTTTTCAAGGAGGCATCGTGGAAGTGGTTGCGTTTGTGGAAATCCTGGACCACTTTGCCCACGCTCCATAATATCTCGTCCTACAAATTATTCAGAACAAAATTACTCGACACCGTATTATCGAAACCTGCTGCAACAAAACCAAATTTAAATACTGTATGTTCAAATTGTACCGTGCAGTAACAGATAACGAAACATACGTATTTTGTGGAATTTTTAAAGGAAATTATTAGTCACAAATACAGTATACATATATGTACGTTTTAGTACTTTATTACCACCAAAAATAAGATGTGATACGCCAACCCAGATTTACCGTACAGCATAAACAAAAATTATTTCCTTAATCTGAGAGCCCATATTTCATAACCCAAGCAAACTGTCTTGGGTTTTCTTGGAATTTCAAACAGAGAAAACAAATCATTTCGACAAACCTAAGAATCTCCATACTTTCCAAAAGTACAGCAGTCAGAACATGGTTGAAAATTGAAATTATGTATTGCAATTACCTGTTGCTCTTTTCGTAATGGAAGATACCGTATAAACCGAAATAGCCTTTCATACTAGATTTAGATGTACACTACCGAATACACTATGTACTACCATTTTCGCGACCAACCCGATCAAAATGAAAGTTCCGTTACCCATTGTATTCGCAATAATAAAATTTCATGACAAACTATCCTTAAATCAACTTAACCCTCCAGCGGGCGGTATCGGACGGAGTGCGAGTTTCCTTTTGAAAATCGGGTCACCCCCTCACCTAACGGGCCCCCTGATTTTGATAGTGTCAGCTAGCTCGGTCACCTATTAATTTAACGGGCCCCGCACACTGAACAATACCGGTAGCTCGGTCACTCGTTCACTAGCGGCTCTTTGCATATTCCGGTCACCCGCTCACCTAAGAGCCACTTCCACTTGACTGTACCGGAAGCTCGGTTATCCGCTCACCGAACGGGCTCCGTGCACTGAACAGTACTGGTATCCCGGTCACTCGCTCACCTAGTGGGCCCGTACACTGGGCAGTATTGGCAGCTCGGTCACTCGTTCAGCTAGCGGGCTCTTTGCACTGTGCAGTACCGGTATCCCGGCACTTGGCGACCTAACGGACCCCGTACATTGGGCAGTAACGGTAGGCGGTAGCTAGATCACCCGCTCACCTAACGGGCTCCCCGCAGTGACCAATACTGGCAGCTCGATCACTCGCTCACTTAACTGGCCCGTACACTGCACAATACCGGTACCTTGGTCACTCGCTCACCAAGCGGGATCTTTGAAATGGACAGTACCGATATCCCGGTCACCCGTTTACCTAACAGGCACCGTACATTGGGCAGTGTCGGCAGCTCGGACAGCCGATCACCCAACGGGCTCTGTAATTTCGATAGTGTGAGATAGCTCAGTCACTCGTTAATCTATTGGGCGCCGTTCACTGGACAGTACCGTTAGCTCGGTCACCTGCTCACCTAACGGGCCCCTTAATTTTAATAGTGGCATATAGCTCGGTCACTCGTTAATCTAACGGACCCCGTACTGGGCGGTACCGAGAGGTCAGTCACCCGTTTGCCTAACGGGCTCCGTGCACTGAACAGTACCGGCAGCTCAGACAATCCTTCACCTCACGGGCTCTGTGCAATGGACAGTACCGGCAGCTCGGTCACTCATTCACGACATTATTGTTAAAAGTAGAACGAGTATGTGGTATGTACCATGCCATCAAACAAACAGATGCATCCTTTCGAGCAGCTAACGCTAAGCACACGACCACAAACGGTTTTCACACCAGTGTATACAAATCTTCTGGCTACAGAATGTCATAAACCGAAACAAAAATGTGTTTGGGAGTGCGCGAAAGTGTCAGTTTTCGTGCATGTACACGAATTTGGTACCACGTGGCATGTACCGACCCACTTCCCTTAAATATGTATATGTTACACCAATAATTTTATTCATTTTTTATAGTATTATAACTTCATTGCAAAATGTGAATAAGGTCACTTTATAAAATTAATGGTAGCAAAAAACCTGGAGCAAATAATAATAAGCTCGCGAGCAGGAAAAGTGTATTCAACTCCTAAGAAGAAGATCGTGATAAACATTCGAATAAAAAGAGCAGGAACAACAACAAAATCGAATGTATCGTGTATTTATCATGTACGTAACGAACCGGATAAATGTGGTCGAGGATCTTAAGAAAAACTGATAATACAATAGCTGAATTATCAGAAACGCAAGCGCTACAAGATATCGTCTTTCATTTCGTCAATTTAATTTTTAAGGTTTTTAAAAATACATTGACTTTCAAAGCAGAGCAACGAAAGTCCACGGACTATCGTGCTTTTACACTGTAAACTGATTCAGAAATACGAAATTCAAATTTTATAATACTCGTCTTGACTCATAGTAGTGAAAATGTCTAATTCGTCGAATTACCTGTGACCTGGTAATGCAGACATAGGCACTATCGATTTCATTGGGATCGATACGCTCCGGGATTTCCACGCTCATCGACAGTCCCTCGCGCACATTCTTGGCCTTACACCCGGCCAATTTATCCGGTTTGAAGTCCGTCTTATTACAGGACGGCGGTTTGGTCTTATTGGGATTGGGGCAGGAGGCCTTGGGCTTGGGCTCCGGCGGACTCTCATCCAGCGGTTTGATATTGCACACCGTGGCGCTGACTTGTTTGAGGGTGACGCGACTGCAGGGTACTTGGCCCAGCGGCGTGCTGGGCGTCCGCGCGGCACACGCCGACATGGCGTCGCCGCCGCACGACATCCGAGACGAAATGATGGGCGGGGTTTAAGGAAAGTGAGGGGATAGCATGTAACAGCGGGAAAAAATTAGCCGAATTACACCAGACAGTATGACTTAGCACAGGAACATATAGGGCGTACTGTGTCCTTGTGCACGCTGTGTTTGTTTACGGTTTGATTAATGGCGAGTCATCGTTTACCGTAGCAACAGTGTGCCTTGTCTAAAAGGCCAACAACGCAGCTATACGGAATTACACATTAAGTACTGTACAACATTATAATGGGGCTTCCAGCAAAGTTCTGATTATACGATAAAATTAATCTAAAAAATATTGTGTCAACGCATCTTTAACTCATCGTTCCCGATTTTCGAGTTTTTTTGTATGCAAGATCTTCTCTAATTAGTGTGCGAAATGCAGATCGGACGTGATTCTTATTTATTTCCGCATCATAAATAAATATGGAAATCATCTCAGCAGCGCGTCGATTTTGCGCATGATATAAGTGCGTATTATTATCTGAGCAGCAAGTTTTGTTTCCGTTTTTGGAATGGTGGGTTATCGATCTGTCTTGTGCTGCGTTCCACAACATTAAACCGTAAAATTGAAGGAATATAAATCTGGAGTGTTTATTATTTGATTATGCTGGACTTGGAGTGTTGGGTGTTTTCTTTTTAGAACAAACAGTTTCTAGAACGTGTGGGCAGAAGAGCTGTTATAATAACTGCACGGTATCTGAGAAAAGGTCACCATGTAGCTTTGTTTTCTTTATTAGACGCTAAGCATTGTTTTACTGTGCCAGAATCTTTACAAATCCCTGTGCTTCGCGTTTTGCAAGTTATTCTGCGTAAAATTATTTATATTATTAATTTTATTATTTATTATTAAATTATTATTACTTTTTGAAAATTATTTCCTTCACACGTCAGGCCTAAAAAATCTGATAATGTTGTTTGCTTTTATGGATAGAAGCACCTCCGTCGACATTGGCTAATGGGCCTGTAAATGCCGAAGCCTAAGAAAGGAAAAGCCGCCAAGCTCCCGCCGTGGGTGCGGCTGTGGCGACGAAATGCCGCGGCCCAGACATTTCTGGAGGTACCTGCTTTAAACAAGTGTCTGTACAAGATTTTTGCTAAGACACTTTAATAACCGCCGTCCGTTCTGCAGGATACCGCCAACTTCGAGTGGAAGCAGGCCGCCCGCGCTTTCAATCAGGTCCTCATCCAGCACCGGCCCCATCTGCGCCGGGTACGCCGCCGCGAGCTCCAGGAAGAAATCCGCCAGGAAGCGCAGCGGATCCAGCAGCAGATCGCCCACCGCGATGACACCCTGGAGTTCCTGATGGATGACATGCGGGAAGCGTTTGAGCAGGAGGAACTGCTCAGTCAGCGGCACACGGCGGCGCTGCAGCGGCTGACGGAGATTCATGGGGATCTGAAGAGGTTTCTCGAAGAAGAGTATTATGGGAACTTGCGCACGCTTATGGCGGAATTGTGTGCCAAGACGAATATGTTGGCCGAACAGAACGACAACGAGATGAAGAAGATCGATCTGATGTTGAAGGTCATGGATGAGGAATGGGGCGAGGAGGAAACGGAGCGGCGGACCAAGTTCTTGACTGCTGTTGACGAGATTAGAAACCGGGTAACGTACAACCGTAATTATGAAAATTTAAGTATATTAATATTTGAAAATAATGCTTACAAAAGCGGGTAATATAATTAAGACTTTTCAAAATTACATCCGGCATTATTGCTGAAGAGCGCTTAATGATGGAGTTTATCGGAATGCTCATTCCTGGAGCAGTGGGCGTGGCTCAACAGCAAACCGAAACTTTGGGTTGATAACAAACACGCTTTTATTTACATGTATTTATGTATAAATCTTATTTTCAGGGTTTTTAAAGATTTTGCAATGTCAGTCTTAATTTGCATCATTTTCGTGTACAGATAATGGAGGAGAAACAGATGCTACGCATTACCATGGAGCACACGATCTCCGACCTATATCAGCAGATGGAAGACGAGTACACCAAGTACAAGAATAAAACCGAGGAGAAGCTGATACGTTACCAAGAACTGCGTGCCAAAGACGAGACCAACTCCAAGGAGGTCAAATACCAAATCACCAGGATCAACATGCTCTCGGTAAGACGCACATTTTTCGCTGAGCAGTGGATCTGTCAAGCGACAACTTGGAAATCGTGTTGCAGAAAATGGTAGCAACGAAAAAAGCGAAATTCTCCGCGTACCAAGAGAAATCCGACATCAAAATGCAATACTGGGACGAAGTATGCACAAAATACAATCGTAGCAAGTGAACCATAATAATGTTGCTACAGTGTGGTTGATAGTTGAAAAACCGGCTGAAAGCGGCCACGGGAGTCGTGAAGCACCGCATCCGCCACGGCAACGACCGCTTCCTCAACGAGTACAAGGATATGACGGCGCAATTCCAGGCCGTTCATGATCAGCTGCTCAAGCTGGAAAAGACGGTTTGTAATGCAAAATTCTTTAAGAAATGTGACCGTTAACTGGGTGCTTTGGCAGGGTGTACGACTGGTGCGGCACGCGCTGGCCGCTCACAGGATGCAGCATCCCGATGATAAACTGTACGCGTCGGTAGAGAAGCGTATGGACGATTTAGATAAGGAAAAACCGAAGAATGATGCAGCGAAAGCGCCGCAGTTAGACGTTAACAAGGTAAGAATTAAAATTATGTATTCAAGTTTAAGCATGTTAAGTTTAAGCGCTTTTGAAATGATTTTAAATGTAACTTGATTTACCTGAAATGAAAACACTTATACTGTACATGCTAAATAAAATAATGATTTTCGAACAGCTTCATTTTCAAACACGCACTTAAAAAATAACTAAAATAGCTACGTTTCCATTATATTTTGAAACAGTTTGTGAACTGTGTATCAGTTTGAATGTCTAAGCTTTCGCTTTATGTGCTTCCCGGTTATTCTTCAGTAAAAATTTGCTGTAGCTGCACAGAAACAGAAACGGCGCTTTTTTACGTGCATTGTTAATTTTTGCAAACGCGAACGTTTTGGTGTATTCTGAACTGATTCCGATTTGGCTTTGGAGTTTTAAGTCTTGATAATTATCTTCACCTTTGAGCGAAGTAAATCTGTAAACTACCTGGTTTCCGTTGAGGAAATTTGTTAATTTTCAGTCGATCAACATTATTGTGTTAATTTTGCAGAATATTGAGGAGATCTTCATGCTGGAGCCGTTTATCATGAACACCGCCCATATGGAAGTCAAGAACATTGTCCGGCGTCATGAAAACCGTCAGCTGAAAGCGCACAACCAACGTCTAGAGAAGTTGGTTAACGAGTACGTGCGAGCCAAGACCATCGACGACACGAGCCTGGCCAATAAGTACGACAACCCTCTGCTGAGCATCAAGGGACCGACCTATGTCGTGGTTGACCGGTACGAATACAAACTCTAAACTAAATTAACTGAAATTGCGATTTCATCATTTTTCCTTCGATTGCAGTCCGGAAACATTCCGCTTGAGCCCGAAACCGATGGGAAGGTGATAGGAAAAATTTGACATCTCAATTCTATCCGCATCTCAAATACAATTTTGTTTTTTTTGAGTCTGTAATTAATGTCACATTTTACGGATTTTGAGTTGAGTGATGAACCGGCCTTGTTGCTGCTCTGCCTTTGAGTGCCAACCGTTTTTAAGTTTTCCATTATTATGCGTGCACCGCGAAATCGGCATGAAAAATGGAAACCGTGGACAATAAAATTTAATGTTAGTACTAATTACTCACCTTTCGTAACGAACATAGGAAAAAAAGTTATTAACACAACATTACATTGCCTTAGATGACAAATTTTTGGCTGCTTCCGGGATTTCCAACTGCAGAAATAAACTCTAGTGCTGCACGCTAAGAAAGGCGAAGAGAAAATTGGGATTTCAGAAAGTGTATCATGTTATTTAAAGTACAGACTCTGTACTCGTACAGATACAGTATTATAGACCTAGGCAACGTACTGTGCCACATACAATCTACAGCAGACTGCGAACATGTTGATCATAATGACCAAAACATTCGCCAAAAGTTTGGAAACATTTTGTGTATTGTAGTGGTAGTCGTCTGAAATAGTTTTTAGTTGGTGTGTACATTTTAAAAGAACAATTTACTTTGCGAGCCAAAGCCATCATGTGCCAGTCTGGCCAGCAACGATCTTTTTTGAGTAGTTCTTATGCCCAACCTCGTTTTTCCAGCACGAGCTCCCCTCGGGAATCTTGTCGCGTCCAGCGAACCATCGAGCAAGAAATCCAGACGATTATTGATAACGCGCAAGCAGACATCCAGCGCATCGAATCGTTGGAGAATGATCCGGACCGACGACTGTCGCGCAGCATGGAGGTACGTAACGTACTTTTGACGTGCGCTGGCGACGAGGTTCTCCGTCTAAATGTTTAGTACGCTTTTAGATCTCGCTGCAACTGTGGACAAAACTGACCGCGATTCGCGATAAATACAAAAGCGAGGTTTGGAACTTTAGACGAAAGTTCTCTGAAGTATTTTTCCGGTTGCGTTGGATTTATTTTGTTTTACAGCTCAAACAGAAGCAGGACGAAAGGATGACCTTTGAGAACGATGCGCGCTTGCAGACTGAGCAGACGGCAAAATCCGTGGCCGATTTGGCAGCTCAGATCGCCAGCACCAACGAGGAAACGTTAAAAATCGAAAAGGAACTGGAAAGTGCGCAATGCTACCGGAAAAAGGTAATTGCTGTTTCTGTTTCAAATTTGTATCGTTACACTGCGTAAATTTGTAACTTACGAATGTGGCGAATTTTGCGATTTACAGTTGGCAAAATTGTAATTCAAGATCGATGACGACACCAAGGCTATGGAAGAGCAGATTAAGAAGTTGGTGGACGAAGGTGCTGATGCGCAGTGGCAGTTAAAGAAGATTACTGCGGATGTAGAAGAAGCGCAGAGGGCGCTGTGCGAAGCAGTATCTGGACGCAAAGAGCGACAGAAGCGTCTGACGTGGGAAGCCGCGTGCGCCGAAGCAGTATTTCAAGAAGAAGTCGATAAGAAGAAATCTGAGGTGAAAATTGTTAAATTGTTTAATAAATTTAGAGATAAAACTATCCATAATTATTAATTACTAATAAGCACCGATTAAAATAATGTCAGCGAGTAATTTTTAAATTATAGTCTTTTATATCATATTTTATTTGTCGACCATTAATCAATAATTTAAAATCAAGTAAATAAACGAAAACTTACTAAAGTATCAGTCGATCGCAATGTAAAAGTTAGAAATGGTAAGTTGAAGAAGCTGAGCTCATTCTTATACAATTTGACATTTAAAATATTTATTAGCGTCGTTGCTTCGGTATACTTTCGAAATGCTAAAGATGTCTTCGTAAATTGTGCAGATTGCGGCGACCGAAAACGAGAATCGGTTATTGGAGAAACAACTGTCACAATCCGATGAGTGCAATGCAGTGCAACAAGACATCGCCGCCGCTAAATCCGAGCTGAGGAAATTACGCAACGAAAACGACATTATCGCAGCCGAGATCGAGGATATTCAGGTCAACAATGAAAAACTCCGTAAAGCGTCGGCTGAAGCGCTTAGGGAAAAAGAGAAACTCGTTCAGGAAAAGGAGGCGTTTAAAGAGCAGGAAGAAAGAAAAATGGCCAAAGAGAGAAAAAACCAAGTAAAGCCAATTATACCGGTTTATACGGACAAGTGACCTTTTAATGAAATTAATCACTGTCGTGATTTTGTATAGGAAAATAAGCTGCAGCAACAAGAGAATGCAATAGCCGAAATCCGCAAACAACAGCAGAACAACCGTATGCGCGCACAGGAAATGGAGAGCGATGCGAAGCTGTTAGAAAACGAAATCGAGCAGATTAAAAAGCGCTGTCGAGAAAGCGAGCAACGATTGAATGAGGCAAGTGCGGAACTGCAACGGTCAAAGCAGACGGAAAATGTTGAAAGAGAATTTCAGCGCGAACTCTGTCAACTGGAGAACAAAACGAACCAAGACCTGCGAGATATCCGCAATAAAGTGCAAACGCTAAACAAGCAAAAAACCGGTACGGATTTATCAGCATTTTGAAAGTTCGGTTCGTTAAAGGTTTTTAATTTTGAATCAGACACTATGGAAATGATCCGTCGTGTGTGTGAGGAAATTGCAAAAATGCGGGAGATGATACAAGAAGGTAGTTGTGACCTTTCATTCCTTTCAAGCTAAACAATGGTCTGCTAACATTAAGAAACGAGAATAAATTTGAGATTAACTTTGCGGTTCTTTAGCGGAGAAAATGTGCGCACCGACGTTTCGCCGTTTGCGCGATTTGACCACCGAATACGAAACACTGAAAGGTCGCAATGATCGCGCAAGCAACACCATCGCGTTTTACGACAAAATCCGGGCATCGGAGAATCAGTATGTCGCACTGAAATCGGTCTTGTCCACCGCTAATGCCCGTCGCGATTTCTGCAAGGTTTGACCTTTTCCGACAAATTCCAGTATTTACTGAATGATCTGAGTACGTACTGTTACGAATAGCGCAAATTTTAATTAACCGGGTTATTTATTGCAGCACAAGGCGTACGCGGATAATGTGGTGCGGGCGGCTACAGTGAACAACCTGGACCAGCCATGTTCCTCGAGAAAGAGCCAAGCGGAAACATCAAAACCGTTTTCTTGTCTGAACACTAATCTCAATCGAAACACTATTGCCCGCAGCAGCAGATTGGATGCTCCCGAGTATAAATGCAACGTTCGATAATCACCGTATAAAAAATCCTCTGCACAAAGGTTGCTGTTGTTGACGAAATTCATTTCCTTGATGTGGTAAAAGTATCAGTAAGGCAAAGCTATCGTTTATGTGGCATCAGAAAACTATATACATGATTATTAATTATTGCTCATTCATCGGCGTTTCTAATACATAAAAATATACGAAAATATCATCAGGAGAGTTAAATATTATTATTACGAAAACTCGTACGCAGGATGCGAAAACCTAGGCAAATATGCAAAAAAGAACTATTCTCCCTTTTACCGTGCAACAGAACCATACGAAGTACAGGATTTCTTACCGAGTCAGAACAACATTTTCTTATTTAACGGTCTTAGTTATCGCAGCATCCTCTGCCGTATCAACTCGAGTTTGGCCAGCATCCGGTGGGTACATCAATAGGTCGTTCGGGCGTTCGTCGTGGTGAATCTTCACCCGGAAGTTGATTGTGGCGGGAACCAACTTGATTTCCGGTGGCTCAACTGCAGCACACATCGAAATTGCTTTTCATTATTCGGAAGCAAATTTGTATAGTTCTGTTATGGTACCTGGTGCATTTTTTCCTTTGCCTTTCGCTCCTTTGGTGTCGTTAGGTTTGCCTTTCTTACTCCCTGCAGCGGGCGATGGTGCTGCATCCGGCGGCGGCGGTACAATCGTTGGAACCATAAAATCCCAGCGGAACTTGGCTTCCCGGTCACCATGCAGCAAGGGCAAGGTGGGTACCACGCAGGTCGTCAGTTCGGCCGATTCCACAATCTCGCTGGATAACGGCACATCCCAGAGATCTGGCTTCTGACCTTTAGTTAGCCGTAACGCCTACATAAAAATTCATTTCGTCATCAGTTTCGGGTACTGTACCGGCCCGATCAAGTGGCGCCACAGATAATGTGTACTTCTGCGGGAAAACCGCACACATACAGCGTTTGTATCGCTCTTGCGCTGGCATACACGAGCAGTGAAACACTTTGCAGCGCTGATTTTCCCTGCAAAAACTCTGTGGTGCCACTTGATCGAGCCGCTGCAGCATTAAACGGCTACCGCAGTTCACGTAAAAAATCAGTTCCCGCCGACCGTCAAAGAAATACATACAATATAATAATTTTTTTGATATGTAGTACATCTGTAAGCCGATTAAAGTTTTCATGGTAAAAGTTGAACTTTTTAAACGAATTGCTTGGATTACTACGATTGCTACGAGCGTGCTTTTTAAGTTTTGAGATAAAATTTAACTGAACTTTACCACATATTTGCTGGCTTTCTTAAGCTTTCTAAGGTTTTGAAGGTTTTTAGGTTTCTTAGCAGTGATTTAATGTGTCAGCGACACCAGTAACAGTCCAGAATTCTAAACAATACCTTGCTGGTTTTGGTCTTCTTGCCACCGGCCGCCGGCTTCGGGGTAAACACCGCTTTCTTCTGGAATAGCGTGACCTTCATTCCGCGCCGAATGTACTCATAAATGCCGTTGACATCCGCGTTAAACAGCAGCGGAACCGGCACGGCAATGGTCAGCGGGTCAGCCCACGCCCAATCCAAACTATCGCTCGCAACTTTTTCGATACCCGGGATACCGTCGTACAGCGGATCGGTGGGTTCAGGCACCGGCGCCACCGGAACAGGTAGTGCTGGAGATTTGGGATTCTTCTTGGATTTTGCTTCTTTCTCTACAGTAAAACAAACATCGATAAGCGTTCACCGGGCGAATGTATAAAGGCAGTTAAAAGGTCACCTTTTTTGGCTTTCTCTTCGGCTTTGAGTTGCTCGGGTGTCGGTGGTGGGGGTGGCGGTTTGTTGGTGAGAAGTTTACCGGGAAACAGGACTTGCACGGTGTGCACCCATTTTGTTAACGGGTACGCTTCTTGCTCGAACGGCGCCTGTAATTTAAAGCAGCGCCGCTATTTGTTGGAAAACCAGCTGATCACAACTGAGCTTCTGCGGTACACTTTGCTCAACAGCGAATCATTTTAACCGAAGAAACAGAACAGCGGGTTACCCTCACACTTGCTGATTTGCTGATATTATAAAGATTCGAAGATTAACTTTTTTACGCAGTTAAAACTTTCGTCTAACCTTTGCATATTATAAACTAGAGAACAAGTATGAAATACGAAAGCAGTTTTCTCTAAGCACGAATATATAATACAATAAATATCTTGTCCGAAATTGTACCTTGTAATCTGTAGGTTGCGGAAGGCCTTTGATATCATCAATAATCAACAGAATCACGCTCTGCTTGTTAGCTTCCATGGGTTTGAAAGATTCGTAGGAAACCGATAAGTGCTCTTCGCGGGCGGCAGGAGTAATGTAGTCGCCATCGAGTGCGACGAGTCGTGGAATGGACGCCACCAGTGACATTTTGTACGTTCGGAAAAACTGCGCGCAAACAGGGAAAAGTTTAGGCGATTATGGTTTTAGCAGCTGCCAAAATGCTAACCGAACATGCATTTCCGGCAGCGTGGAGATTTTTCAGAGTGGTCAACGGAGCTAGCGCCTCCAGGACGCTTTGATCCGACACAATCTGATTGGCGGAAATGTCCAACGATGTCAGCTGGCTTCTGCAACAAAAACACCAGGACTGCAGTTTTACCGGAAGGGCAGCGGCGAAACCGAAGATCAAAGTTTTACAGATCCGCTTTATGAAGAACGCCTGTCAAGTCCGCAATGTTGTTGAATGCGATGCCGATGTGCTGAAGGTTGGGAGGCGGCGTGCCGGTGATTTGTTTCACGCAGTTCCCATACAACTCCAGATGCTGCACGACAGAAATAAAATTTTATTTCACCATTGCGCTATTTTTTCTAAAATCATGATGAATTTTTTCTATGAGCGCTTATCTTTCTAAAATCAGCGCTTATTTATGATTAGTGGTAAAGCTGTGGTTCTTATTTCTATCAATATCTAGGTATTTAATGTTTGTTGAAAATTAATAAAAAATAATTACCGATCCGTTCAAAAAAGTGGGCAAGTGCGAAGCGATTTTGATGACAGCAATCACAGCATTACGGGAAAACTAGTACCTGCACAGATGATCCCAGATTGTGGAGATCCACAGATTCGATACGGTTATTGGGCAGCGACAGCACTTGTAGATTGCGTAGTATCATCAACTGCGCATCGATTGTGGTAATCTACGACTAACGAGAACCACGTAATGGTGTCACAACTTGAGAAGCATCCGGAACTTTATCTTGCTACATTACCTCTTTCCCGCAGAACATCAGGTTCGTGAACTGCTGAAAGATGGCCGACAGGCGCGGTTGCCGTATGGCTCTGAGCAAACGCCACTGGATGCCTTCCAGATCGTCCGTCCAACCGCACTCCACGTACCACGGCGAGCTCTTCCATTTGGTGAGGAAGGTTTTCTCGTCGCACTTTTCCCAATCGAAATCTGTCACAAATCGCTCTTGAAAATAAACGAACGGTTGAAGTAAAATCCAAAAACTGTCCGATAATTACAACGAACCATCAATGCGAGTCTTCTTCCTTTCGAAGCCTTTGGTGACCTTTGGTGTGTTGACCTAAACATACACGTGATCCTAAATTACCTGTACTTTTCAGTAAAATTTTTACTTTCTTTCGCAAATATTTATCGCTGTGAGAAAAATTAATTTAGCGGTAAGTTTAGAAATATAAAGATTTTCTTGAGTACCTGGGTTAATGCTTCTCGGTAGGGAAAACAATCCAAGCGCAGACCTTTAAATTTTTCATCGAACACTTGAAACACCGTTCGTTTCTCAGGAGTAACTGCGCGAAAATATTGTACAGTGTGGTCGCTTAAAGGAGGAAACGGTGGAAAATGCTCCGGGCCTGCGTGATACGGGATAGCATCGGATTCCACTGCTGTCGCCATTGCTAAAGTCGTGTGTTATGCGATCATTGCAATTTAGTTTTTGTTTGCTTGCCCAGCCACAAAGATAACAATTTGCACTATTTTAAGAGATATTCCAAAGAGCTGTATTTAATATTTATTACTATATTTTGAGCATTTGCAGGTTTCTTGTATCCGCAAAGTGCAGGCTTGCACTTTATGCACTGACACGTCGATTTCGCTTTCGATTGAGCGTCGTTGTTGTTTTTGCGTAAGTGCTTATACAGCATTGTTGTAGATCGAGCGTTGCTTTCCGGTTTCGCTCCGTCTCTAAGGCGACGAAGATTTTCATCAGCTGCTGCAGAGCGACGTATCGGTCGAAAACAAAGTGTAACGATTAACGCTACTGTGGCAAAGACATTCTGTAGTTTTTGCATGTTGCCGCAGTCCATTATTAATTTTACCAAATTTGTGATCCCATCACCAACAATCTGAAGAAAACCAAGCATTAAATGAAAATCAGTAAAAGAGAAAGAAAAAACAAACGATTAAAAAGAGAATTCTAAAATCTGTAGAGTGCAGTTCGATGTCTGAAAGGCATAAAATGCACGGAAATCACTACCACTTCTGACATAAGCTGCGTTTACAAGCCGCTGCGGATGATGAGCATGATAAAATGCAGCGAAAAATATAAATTTCTGGGTTACGCCAAAACGGACGTGGTGTAGTGGCCATCGTGCAAGCGTTAACAGCGCGCTCAATATGTTTAAGCTGTACGGGTACCTTTAGGTGCTAACTATCCGCAACGGCTTGAACAAAGGGATGTGCTTCACTTTGTTTTTGTGCTTATGCCGCTTCTCATACGAATTTTATTTTTTGTTAATCACTGTAATAATCCGTTTTGTATCTGAAACACCCAGTAATCACACCTGTCCAGAATGCGGGCGCAAAATCCAGGGGCACCTTAAACAACACAACAAACGCAAACGAGCTTGCAATCAGTTACTGTACTTTACGCACTGCAAAAGCGTCACGCTAAAACAGTAAAAGAAATCAGCCAGTAAAGAAATTTACTAAAATCCAGTGTAAATCAGCCTGACATTGTAAATCACTGGAAATAACATGGCTTGTGTGCTAGCTACTAGCTGTCATGCGAGGGTGGTTTCTTGCCTCGATATCGTGTTGGTGCTTCTAATTTCTTAGCTGTACTGTATCTTTGATTCTCTTACAAGTAGTTTTTTCAGATGTTCTTGGATGTTTTAGAATAATTAGAAAGTTTTTAAAAATCTGTTGATGGTGTTGATTTACGCAGTTCGTGCGGACCGCCTAGGTTTCTTAAATGAGTCGCTATCGCACGGAGTGCGTTGACGTGTTGGGCGAGGACGGACTGTTCCACATTGGCCGTGTGGTAGACGTGGCTGACTCTGGGCTCTTTATTGGCTTCTGGGCTCTTTATTGGCTTCTTTTGCCGAGACCGACATCGTATACTCATCCCGTTCCAGCGCGTTTTCCTAATCACCCAAGTTGTGATGACCAACTCCGACCTCATCGAGGCGCACGCTTACGCCAAGCCTCACAGGAACATCCCCGTGGACGCTAGGATGCGCGAGGCATCTGGCGGTGCGTGGACGTGGTTCCCCGCGGAAATTGTCAATATAACGCGGGGCATACCCATGACGCCGTGCAAAGCGACCTGGTTGGCCGTTATACGGTGGGGGAGTGATCTACAGTATACGGAGCTCGTTTCCCTCGCACAACTGCGTTGGAGAGTGGTCCGTGAGTGGTGGACAAGTACTGGATTGCAACCTCCCGCCCAGTCCCCATCGGACGCCTGGTATGACCAGAGCTCTTCGCTTACAGACCCGAACGCCTATCCTGAGGCTGTTGAATCTGGAACCTTCCAGAAGCACAGTCTGCCGATCCCTGAGGACTGTCGTCATGTGGACGTCGACAAACTGCTGCAGCGCTTGAATACCTTTGATTTACAACCCGATGAGTTCATTTACGGCCTGGTTTGGTTTGCTGGCGTAATGGACGCACGTGTGTGGTATATTTTGAGGAATAATAAGTTCTCTCAGGTATGCGTGAAAACCTTACCGTGAATTGGCGATACCTCATTCAGATTTTAGTTAACAACCCATTTTGTGCTACGTATCTAATATTGTATCGGTTGTTGCTGTTGTTGTATAAATATACAGCGCAGTCCTTACAAGGGCCATCAGTATATCTATTACTGAGCTGCTCACTATTGCCGCTAACACTCACTGCTAGTTAGCAGCATGTTATGGTGCTTTGTCGACAGGAAATCGAGGAAAGGCATCGCATCATAACCCGGTGGATTCAAATCCGAACATGGATGCTGACCGAAGAAATTACGACGTCGCCAGCCGGGCGCGAAGAAATCGGGGATGCCGATGCGCATGTGCTATCGTCTGCCGTGTGGTTGGAAGTGTTTTCCCAGCTGAACACTGTGATGCAGACCAGATTACGCAACGTTTGCTATACGTGGAACTGCCTTGTGGATTTGCCGGTTTTGACGGCCGGCATCGTTCTTATATACCCTTCCAATGGCTACTACGCGAATCATATAATGCAACTTGTCACGTCTTGGCACAGATGTTTATTGTGCCACTCTGGCCGGATAGATACTGAATCATGAAATACTCGTAGTACCACATAAAATGCGTCCTCTACAGGTCAACACAGCCATGCGGGTTGCTACGCGCTAATATGGCGCGTAGCCACTACACTACACCTTCACCCTTAAAATGAAGTGAAAAAGCAGAACATTATGGCAAAATGTCGAAATAGTCTTCTTCGACATTGTAGACGGTATCGACCTTTTCCTTCTTCTTGTTGTCCTTCTGCTGGCATGCCCTCTCTATGTGGCCTTTCATGCCGCAAGCATTGCACCTGGTGTTTTTATACCAGCATTCCTCGGGCGTATGCCGCCAGGATCCGCATCTTTTACACTTCCGCCGGGACGGCATCTCTTCGTCACTTCCACTTTCTTCTTCATTCTCTTCTTGTCTCTTCTCTCTCCTGCTCTTATCCTCTTTCTTCACTCTTGTTTCTCGCTTCTTAATACTGTTCACCACATTCTCTTCCACGTTAGTTTTTCTCGCCTCTTTCACGCTTGTTTCATATTTGATAGCAATTTGGAGGGCGGCGTCGAACGTCTTCAGCTCTTGCAGCATTAGGTAGCGTCTTGTTGCGTCGCTTTTGACGCCTGCCACGAGCACAGCACTTAAATTCTTCTCCAGCACTGTTGCCGGAAAGTCGCATAGGATCGTTTTGTCACGTAAACGCGTCGCGAAGTCCACCAGGCTTTCTTTTTCGTCCTGCCGAAGACTGAAGAACAGCGCCCACTCGGTTATTTGGTTCGTGTACGGGGCGTAGGCCGTTTCAGCTTCGTGACCAGTTCACCCAGTGTGAAGTCGGACGGCATCTTTGGCTTGCACATGGAAACTAGGAGCTGCAGGGCCTTCGTATCCAGACTGTTTATTAGCAAGGCACGGTGCTTGTCCGTATGAAGGTCGGTCAGCACAGTATAATTATCATACAAAAACTTCCACGCCTTCCAGTCCATGGTTTCCGGATTGAATTTAGTCAATTGATCGGTTGTGGTCGTCATTTTCGCTCTCTTATTATATAGCGCTCGCTTTCCTCTTCTCCTTTCCCGCTTCAGAGTTCAGAGAATACTACACTTCACGCCAATTGTCACGTCTTGGCACAGATGTTTATTGTGCCACTCTGGCCGGATAGATACTGAATCATGAAATACTCGTAGTACCACATAAAATGCGTCCTCTACAGGTCAACACAGCCATGCGGGTTGCTACGCGCTAATATGGCGCGTAGCCACTACACTACACAACTGCATTACTTTCTCATGGCTTCTGTATTCAAATGCTTCCGAAAATCCACCCAGCACATCGTCATGGATGGTCACCGAAGTCGTACGAACACCGAGAATTTTATTACGATGACGCACGTGTTACACTTTATGGGACAGAAACTATCCAGTCGATTGCGAAGGATCTATTTAGTGGGAGCCCGCGTGGAACTGGAAATCGGCAACACTCTGGATTCTACCGATTATCAGTATGATAAATGTCAAATGCATCGCAACATCGCTAAGCAGACCTGTGATCGGTTCTCGTCATCCTGTTATCGTCTGGTTGAGTTCATTGCAGCATGTGATGGTCTACCGTGCGATGCCGTGCATCTGGTGGATTGTCATATGGATTTGAAATACGCTCGACTGAACCGTTGCACGGAGATCAAACTGTCGGTTGGCCTGTCGATGTGTTTGTCCTTGACGGATGATTTCGGCAGCGCGGTCTGGGCATCACTGGAAGCAGCCGTGCCGATCCCGAGCGAACACAAGCTAGCCAGATTGTCAGGGTGGTTGGCGTCCATCTCGGCTGACCAGGTCCGGCGCGCTGAACATGGGCTAGCCTGCAGGGTAAGTTGTTATTCAAGCGGATGAATGTTGTCTAAGCGGTTCACCATGTGTGACTACCTGTTCTGACAATCTTGCCATGAGTGTAGCATGACTGGACGCATTATCGGGAGCCCATTCTATTTCTAAACCTGATGTTGGTTTTGTTCCTTCTTCCGTTCGTATGGGACGTCGTTCTAATAAACTAGAAAAATGCGCGTGGGTGTGCATTGGCAGACCGGCGTTGCTAACGCTTGATTTGCGTTATTACGAGTACTGTATTAGTTGTTACTTTCGTAACAAACTTCCGTAACGGACACAGATACTGTAGAGTAACCCTGCACTTGACAGCTTTTTCGTACGATATGAGCTGTACGGCACTGTAGTACTGGCAAACGTTCAGCTGGCCCAGAGCCGACTTAGCTGCACTCACATGTGCTGCCTGCCTAGTCACAGGCAGCATGTGTGAATGGTGAATGTGCTCGTATGTAACCGTCCAAAACGTCCGGACGTCTGAGACGCCCGGCGGACCTTTTGGCGCCTAAACCGTCCAAAGCGTCCGGGGGCCGCCAAAACGTCCGCCGTAAATTTTGCCCGTCTCATTTTTTTTGTTTTTTCGTAGGTTTATAGCCGGACGTTTTGGCCTGACCGGTAATTCGTAGCCGGACGTTTCAGCCTGTCAACGGTCAGACAGAAACGTCCGGCTACAGTCGGCAAAACGTCGGCTAAACTCGAAAAACAAAAAAAACAAATTGCGAACGGCCCCCGACTTTGCAAACAAAACGTCGGGACTACCCTTAAACAATCTCTTTGAGCAAAAAAAAAGCTGTCAAGTGCAGGGTTACTCTACAGTACATTTTTGCATTGTTTGCTGAGTTAAGAGTAGGGTTGCTAACGGTGGAATTTTTTACCGGTGCACCGGTGAAATTTCGAAAAATCGCGGTGAATTTTTGGCAAAATATTCATGACGGCGGTGAAAATTTTGAAGAAAAGTTACACCGCATTAAGTCGGTGCGGCAAAAAATGTACACGGTTCCGCACCGGTGAAATTGCCGATTCACCGGTGGTATCGTAACTGGGTCCAAAAGAGAAAAGAAAACGAATGCGCAAGTTTTAAATGAATGCGATTACGATGTAATATTAACTCTCTGTATTTCTCATACATGTCCGATGCAGTTAGCTGTTAGACTTCTGCATGTAACAAGGATCAAGGATGCGATTTTACTGTAGCCTCTTCTCCTACATGTATGTTGCTGTTATGTTGTTTACAATAAGCACTGTCACTAACGTTAGTTGTACTAAGTTAACAAGTAAAGCGTGTGGCTAGCGAAAAGTAATAAAAGTGGTTCTATAATTACAAACTTTTCCGGTGCACACCGAATTGGTTGTGAACGGTGCACACCGGTGCCGTGCGATGCGGTGCGGTGAAATGCACCGCGGTGAAATTTTCATGTCCGCACCGCACCGACGGTGAAAATTTTGTAGATACACCGTTGTCGGTGGTGCGGTTATACTTAAAAATTGCACCGTGACTTCACTGCACCGCACCAAATCGCACCATTAACAACCCTAGTTAAGAGTACCTTCGCCACGCTCTGGTCGATTATACCTGCGATCTGACCGCAGAGTGAACTGGTGTTTCTCTCGCTCCTGATAATCGTAATCATAGCTGATTCGTGACCATGCATCCTTTTCCAACCTGTACAAGCTTGTCCGGTAATTTCTGCCGGTTCAAAAAACGCTGTAAATCTACCTGCTGCTTTGCCGGAATCGGCATCGGTGGCACGGGCAAAATTAATTTTTTAAAAAATAAAATGCCATGTGACACAGTTTCCGAACATGCTGAATCTAATGGCGTTTACACTTTTTTCATTATGCTATGGTTTTTCTGATTTCGACGTCTCAGATATTTTTGTAGTTATAATCATTATAGATCTTGTTACTTAATAGGACTGGTTGCATCGGGATCATCCCTAAACAACAAAAACGCCAGAAACTGAACATCCCACATCCTGACTCGATGTAAGACTTTGAGTTGCAGACGTTATAAGCAATTCTGTAACTACACATTCGTTACTGGCTAAACGTTAGCTTAAAAATTAATTTTCACGGCACGCAGAAATTTGAGTAGTAAGCATAGTTTTACTATAGAAATTGCAGCGAGTGAGCGCTGCTTTGGTTTAACCAACTGACAAATTCAAAAAGCTATGCACATGTTGCGTCCACAAAAACATCATATCAAAACCGTGATACATCGCTTGCCAAGTCCTTTAGAAGCGCCTAATAGAAACTGTTAAACATTTCAGCCGGAAAAGACATTACCTTCCAAAAACCATCATTAATAAACATTTTTCATTCTTTGTTTGTAATTAACTCCCGTTGAAAGTCCGCCTAAAGAGAAGACGCTACTAAGCGGGCCCGGTCACTTCATGGCTGAGCGGCATGCCGATTATCGCGCAGTACATCTGATACTGCACCATTCGTGTCAACTTGTCCACATCGATGGAGTTCAGTGGACTGGGACCAAACTCAGGCGCTTCGCCGAAGGTGCGACACTTGCGAGGATCCCCGAGCTGCCGGTAGCGCCAAATCTGCAATAGATCGATAAATAAACCCATTGACGCGGTTATTGTTAAGTGCTAGAACAAAACGGCAGCTGGCGGAGGCGCATCGGTAGGTTTCACTACAAACATGTGATTGTTTTTGCGTATTTACCACATAAAGTCCACGGGAAAGTTCAAAACTCCGGTCAGTCTTCTTGAGCGTAGTGGACACCAGATCCCTCTGGAGGTCGTCCAGCAGCGGACAGCCCTGTTCAATCATGTCCCACCAGTCGGCGACAGTCAGACGGCGGTCGTGGCTAATCCTTGCGAAGGTGATGCGGACTGTGAGCGGCTGAAACCCATCCGGCATTGAAGTCCCCACTCTGCACGTGAAGTTCGTCACAGTCATTGTACGACACATTGCCGCCAGCGAGTCAAAACTGCGGTGAAGACGGGCAATGTAATCCTCATCGTCGTTGTTAGGAGTTCCACATATGGCATCCTTTAATACAAGATTTTCCCATAACTTCTTCTCGGCTCCTCCATGCATGGGCTCGCGTGGAAGGATTTGTGTCAGTTCATCACACAACGGCAGATAATAATTCCGGTCTTCTGCATCGTCAGGGACTGGGAAGCCAACAATGGCCACAAGGCAAGTACGCCTACAGCGAGCTGCACAGGCGGCAGCAATAAAAACTTTGCCCTCGGAAGACGAGCGTCGACGAAGTAGGAACGAGCGGGAAGGATCGAGTGGGAACTGGATGTGCAGCAAGCGCTTATTCGGTTTGGCGGCAGAAGCAAGGATGCGGTTCCAACCGGGGCACACTTCCCGCATCCGCCACTGATCAACGGTGTTAAGGTGCAGGAAGGTCTCCCTCAGGATTTCCACGGGCAGGAAGCGGACTACGTCATCATCGTTCTGCGCCCGCGTCATGTGCTCCAGCACCTCGTTCTTCTCGGTTATCGTCTTGTTGTGCTCAGTGGGCAGCGCCTCCATCTTCACACCCCTCGCTTCCAGCAGCTGATCTCGGTCCAGCAGTCGCTTCTCCAGGTTTGCCACCGTCTTCCGGTAGTGGCACACATCCAGACTCTTCTGTGTCAACCGGGAACGTCGTCTGTCTGGGGATCTTCTGGAGCGGATTGTGTCGAGTTCTGTCGTCTGCGGCATGGAGTACACGCGTTGCGTTTTGACAAGGGACGGTGATGAGGAACCCAGAAGCTCCGGTTGGGCTGCAAAGTACATTAAGTTTGTATTGCCGAGAATTTTTAAAGAAAAAATATCTGATTAACCACCATTCAGAAACACGGCTAATTATTACCCATCAATAATGGAGACCAATGGAGAAAAATCAGTATTTTTAGGAGTATTAGCCAAAATCAATAATCACGAAAATCCAGTCACACTTCACGATTCAGCATCGTAAAATCGAAATAATAATCAGCGCAGCAGACATCTATCTAAGGGTGGGTCTCACATTCAAAGCGAATCTCGTTATGGTACGGTTGCTCAACCGCACGAGGTGGTTGTTTGCAGTGGCCACGCCTACAGATACGGTACGCGAAGCCACCTCGCGAGGTGGAGTTGCTGTATCGCAACTAGATTCGCTTTGAATGTGAGACCCACCCTAAGTAAAATGGAATCAAAAAAATAACGTCTAATTAATGAAACAAGCTCTAGAATAAAGACGAACGAGCAAATGGGGTGATATTAAAACATCTTATTAAGATGAAAACTACGAAACTGCTTTCAAAGGAAAAGAGATTAAGATTAATTTATGGCTAAGGCTGTTTTGCCTTCCTTCCTCACCCCCTTATCAATTTTTTTTTGACAGGGGGCAACCGGTTTTGAAAAAATAGGGGGAGGCAAACTGCCAAAATTGACACCCCCTCCCCCCTATGACGCCCCTGGCACAAAGTGTGACTGCTAGCAGTCATCTAAGCCGGATGATAGCTACGCCCATCACGGTCTGTCTTGTCGCTTTTCCGCTGGCAGGCATCCGCGGCATGGTGGGCTTAACAGCATCGTATGCCGCGCTCTAGTCTCAGCCGGCATCCCTGCAAAACTTGAGCCTCGTGGCACATCCCACACAAACAGAGGGGGATGTGCTTAGCTTGGGATGTCACATGCGATGACACCCTCGCTGCTTCCCATATCAAATCCACTTTGGCGAACGCGGGATCGGCTGTCATTCAGGCAGAAGGAAAGAAGACCAGGTTATACTTCTGTAGTTCTACCTGAACGGACGTCACATTTTCGCACCCATTGCCTTCGAGACTATGGGTCCGTGGGGACCGTCGGCCATAGCCATCATTAAAAAACTTGGAAAGCGCCTGCGGGCCCATTCAGGAGAAGCCCGCTCACACGAATTTCTTCGGCAGCGTTTGTCTCTAGAGATACAGCGGGGTGACGCCGCTTCTGTTTTGGGTACCGTTGTGAGTGCGGAAATGTTTATTGAGCTCTTGTTTCTTTAACTGCTCTTAAAACGTGTAAAGTGAAGTTTGAATAAAAGATGCGCCAATGGTGCGGGTTTTCACAGATAGTAGACAAGGCAACACAACTTATTCCCCCAGGTTTGTTTTGGCAGGGGCACACCATGCGTTGTGCCGTATGATAACTGTAATAAACAAGAAAATAAAATAAGCAATAGAGTTTTGCCATAACATTATTATAGTAGCGAAAATAGCACTTAACATAAAATAAAATTAACAGGTTACCCAAATACACTGTACAAGGAAGTCAGACTAAATACTTTCGGTTGCATTGGCATGTAAGTTAAGACGGAGGTAACAGTAACATTTCACCGCTAAATATTTTGCGGCCATCTTTCAAAATTTGGTTTAAAAGTCGCTCAAGCAAAACAACAACGCTTTCTCGTTCTCATTTGGTGTATCTTTGCTTTGTAACACCCTCTCGATTGTTTCAAGTAGCCCGCCGTCAGGTATCGTGAGGCCCAAGGCAGTTAGACGTTCCTTCAATTTCTCTCGGTGCAGGAAGCATGCCGGGTAATCGTTCAAAGCATGCTGCTCGTCTTCCCGACCTTGCAGAATGTACATAATCGCTCCTCTCGTGGCAATCGTTCCATCGTCCTGTTCCCACAGCAAAGTAGTAGTTAGAGGTCAGTTTTTTTTGCTGGTGTGTTTCTCCATCTACCAGATCTTCAATAAGGTAGATTGCTTCCGTTGCTGTAAAGGTGTGCAGTGCGCTGGTGCTGGGTTTTCATTTCTCTTCGCAGAGGGGTGAGCTAGCCGCTCACCCCTGTTTCGATTTACTTACGTAATTTAAATTTTCCATTTCGCGGATTTTTCGGATAATTACTATGGCAACCTGGCTGACTTAAAACACATAAAAACACAGTTTACTGATATTCTAATTTTCGTTGTATGTATGTATATTGTACACATAGTATTATAGTACTGTGCTACATAGTATTGTACTTGAGGAAACCGTTAAAATTATGAGTCTTATTCCTCGTAAACGAGCAAAAGAAGGTGGTAAATATTTTTAAATATGAATAAAGTCACAATGGCCAAGCTTGTACAGCAATCCACATTTTTTAACTGGTTACAAATTCCTAAAAAGAAGAATTTTCCGTGCCAAAAAGTGCTTATTCCTAATTTTGTTAAACAATGACCATTTACTAGTACGTTATGTGACTAGGGGTGCATCGATCTAGAAAACCTGATTCAGAATGGAGTTGTCATCATTGGCCAGTTTGGAGAGCGCGTTATCTTCTGCTACACGGCAGACAAGAATGAACACCTTACAAACTATCCGCGCCCACATACAGTCTGGGACGCCAGGTTTAGCCGGAGATAATCCGCAGCTGCAGCAGCGAATCGCCGCGCTCATCGGTGATCCCTCCGAGATGGTGTGCCAGCTGGCACTCGAGACCTACAGTGACCTCCTTCATGGAAACTGGGAAATCGATCAGTCGGTCCCTGTTCTGCTAAACATGCTACAGATCCAGTTAGGCATCGAAGGATCAGTGAGTTCGTCGGATAACAGTGCAGCTCAGTGTGAATCGCGGCAGGAATCGGAAGAAATTCGTCTGCTGGAAGTGAAGCTGTTACACTCTCTTATACAGCAGAAAGGTGAGCAATCAGCGTGGAATTCAAAGTCCGCTTGACGCTCATTCCAAAGTGGCAATGCGTTTCAAGTCAATTCAAAACATAAAGACAGCGGAATGCAGCGACGTTGTGACGGTGATTTAAAAGGTCTTCCAACGCCGACATACATTTAATTTTCCATGTTTAATGAGCTTGTAATTTTGCTGAAATTTTTAAAATTGCTAAACGTGTGCGTGGTGTTTTGCAGATGGTTTAATGAAGCTCTACGTGGATGTTATCGTGAAAATACTCGCAAAAACTCTTCATGATGCTTTCGCGGAAATCCGCATCGAATCCTGTCGCTGCATCAAGACCCTCGCCGTGACCTTTAGCAAGGATTTCCTCTCCCAGTCCGATCCCATCATCGACGCCCTTCTAGCAACGTTCACCCACAACCAAGCCCGAGTGCGAGCTGCCCACACCGAAGCCATGGGCTACGCGCTGCAGTACGGCAATTACCGGCGCATCACCGACGTCTGGCGGTCCGTGGCCCAGCGCGTCATCGACGCCCACCACACGGTGCGCCGTGCTGCGTTCAATACGCTGCATTTGTGGATGACGCAGTTCCCGGATCGCTACTCGCACTGGAACCGTTTTATCCCGCTGTTTATCTGCGGACTGTTTGATGTGATCGCGGAAGTTCGCGCGGAGTGTGACGTGCTGTGGCGGGATATCGGGCAGCAGTACGAAGCGGAGAACCATGATGAGGTTCAGCAAGCGGCCGAATTAGATTTCGACCGAAGCGCAGAAACTGGCGGAAACTTCCCGAGCAATTTTACAGAAAATTCGTCGGCTGAGCGGCCGCTGTTGGGTTGCCGGTTGCTGGTGCAGCGCGTGCTCTTCAACGTTATCCAATCCAATTTAAACGACCTGAAGGATTGGCAGGAGAGTGTGCGATTACAAGCCATTAAACTCCTTCAGCAGCTGTTACGCCATGCAGAAGTATCCAGCGTGGTTGTCATCGATAAGGTCCTAGCGGCGCTGCCGACAGCAGCCCGCGATGAAAACCGAGATGTGGTGCTAGAGACTAAGCAATGTGCGATCCTGATTGGGAGGTTCATTGAGCCGAAGGTGTTCTGCAAGCTACTGTTGCCCAGCCTGGATAGTGCCAGTCATTTGGTGGTGCTTAGCGGAATATTGGCCGGTGCGGGTGCTGACCTTTTAAAGGATTATCTTATGGGGACCTTGAGCGCACTGAAGGCGCTAACGCTAACTACGTCAGAAGCGCAGCATTTTTACATTTTGGAATGCATCGAGCGGTTAATGCAGAAGATGCCGGTCCAGTTGATCGAGTACACAAATCTTGCTTACAGCTTGCTAATGCACATTAACGCTTTAACTGAAAGCAAAGAAATGAAAGCCAAGGTAAGATTTTGCTATGAAGTCAAATATTCCAAAACTTCCGGTTTATTTATTGATATTTGGAAGCGTTAACTGTTCAGTAGCTACTTTCCTCTGGAAATGTTTAGTCAACGCTATATTGCGAGTTTTCTTTTAAATTTTTCAAAAAAACAGGTACCGTTTTTGTAATAGATATTATTTTGACGGTTTTAGATTGCAGAAATGGTGGAACAACTGAAGAAACATCAGTATACTGATTCCAACGCCGATTTCTGCTCGAAGCTTTGTCGGTCATTCCACACCGAACTTCTGAGTTGTCCAGCTTTAGCCGGAGACTGGAGTTTCTGCTCCATGGAATTCCGCATCCTGCAGAATTACCTGGAAGAGCACGGCATTACCGTGCTGCACCAGAACAGTGACCTTTTATTCCCGGCCTTCATTGCCAACACAGCTCCGTCAAAGAGCGTGCGCGTCCGTTTCGGGATTTTCCAACTACTGCTGAACATTATACAGGATACTCGAAACCAGCCCCCCGCCGACGGCGACTGGAATAGCCAGCACTCGGAGTCGATGGTCCGGGAACTTTTTGCTCCGAATATGACATGGAAACCTGGCAGAGCCGAATCGGTTCTGCGTGCCGCGTGCTGCTCGTGTTTGGTTGTCTGCGTCGAACAGGGACTGCTCTCGATTGCGCTGCTAAATGATCTACGAAGCGAAGTGCTCCCGAAGCTGGAGTCGTTGGTACGGGACGAGCATTCTTTGACGCAACAAGCAGCGTTACGATTGTACCGAATCTACTGTAAATCGGGCGCTGGATTCAACGAATGTAAGCAGCGAAACCACTGCTGTGTTACTGATCATTTTTTAAGCGGATTATTTTTAGACGAGACGAAACAGGTTTTCGGGGCCTTTTTGAAAGGACTGGACGGGCAGCGCGACGTCCGACTGGAAGCACTGCGGGGTCTCCATGACCTTTTCAGTACCATGCCCTTGGAACTCGGTGATTGTGATACGTCCGCCGCCGAGGAAGCCTGCCGAGTCCTCTTGATACACTTGGATGATCCCGACGCGGAGATTGCCAAGAAGACGTTGGCGTGTTTACGGCGCGCTCAGTGCTATGAGATTTTAAATCAGTTTATCAAAGCGCAGAAGAAATCCGTTGGTTCCAAGTATTCAGAGTTGGTGGCTGTTTAAATTTGCGTGTGTTATTACATATTACTGGTAACTGTTATTTATGTTTTGCTGTGCCTGTGCTGCTTGATGTGGTGGTTGTTTGCTTGAGCGTGATAAATCTCCTTGGAAACTAGAGCATTTCTAATAAAGAACTAGGGTAACTGCCATACCAAAGATTTGCGTATGTGTGGACGTCAGCTTCAACGACGTTGTCACGTTTTTACCACTACTTAACATTGTCGCTGTAATACTCGTCCATAAATTCTCTCTTCCATTTATTCTGGAATTTGTAATACCTCATCTGTAAAAAATGCCAACAAACTCGAGAAATTCTTTCGTAACGCAGCTGGAATATCTCTGCAACCTCGATGTGGACAAAGCTTCACATCCTATAAAGAAAACGGGAATAATCTGTACAATAGGTGCGTTAATATTGTGTATAATGTTCATGTCGATATGTACATCATAGCAGAACTGTTTTTCTCGGATTGGTAAGGACCTGCTTCAAAGAAACCAGAAGTGCTGAGCCAAATGATCAAAGCCGGAATGACCATTGCGCGGCTGAATTTTTCCCATGGAACGCACGAAGTAACTGGTCTGTTAGGCAATTATATCTGTGAAAAAGTTTGGTTTCTAAAAAAAGTTCTGCGTGACCTTTAAAAAAATTTCTAAAAAGCGTTGAGACCTGCGGAATTCTCATTTAGTATACTGCTTTTTCCCTAAAAATTTCTTTAATTTTTATTGGTTTTGTGATTATCAGTTCATTTTCTTATTAATTTATGAGGGGGAAACGTTAGTCTGATTGTTTTAAAAATGCTCACCACATTTTACAGTACCACGCAGAAAATGTCCGTATGATTCGCGAAGTGTTGACGGGATTCCCGGGACTGCATTTGCCTATCGCGCTCGACACCAAAGGCCCCGAAGTGCGCACGGGCACCGTAGATGGCGACGAAACGAAAGAGATTCCGCTAAAAACCGGCGCTATCATTACGGTGACTACGAATGATGAATTCCGCGATAAGTGTTCCCCGGAAATGATCTACCTGGACTACAAAAACATCAGCAAAGTAGCCCAACCCGGACAGAGAATTTTTGTTGATGACGGGCTTCTGAATTTTGTTGTAAAGGAAATCGGTACGAAAAGACATATTTATTAGTCATTTATTTGGGTTTAATTTTTTTCGCAAATTTATAAGACAGTTTATGTGGAAATATTCAAAAGCAATTACGTACCTGTATTTAACAAATTGCATGAATTTATAAAAAATTTGAAAACAATAAAATATCGATATAAAAATTTTGAATCACTTTTTTAATGTAAAGTTTTCTTAACAAATAATCTAATTTGCGCAGATGGCGAAAATCTGAAATGCGAAGTGGTGTGCGGTGGAAGCCTTCCCGGGAAAAAAGGCGTTAATTTAGCCGGTATCGATATTGACCTCCCACCGGTCTCTGAGAAGGACCGGGCGGACCTCCATTTTGCCGTTCAACACGGGGTAAATCCTGTGACCTTTTCAGTTTTCTTCCAACCGCCGCCCGTTTACGCTCCTGCTTACATTAGGTGCTGATTTTCAGCTGGACATGATCTTCGCGTCCTTCGTCCGCAACGCCCAAAATGTCCAGGCCATTCGCGAAGCTCTCGGCGAAGACGGCAAACACATCCTCATCGTCTCCAAAATCGAGAACCACCAGGGTTTACGCAAGTAGGCGACGGGGCTATGTTTGTGTAGAAGCTAGATTAAAGAGGTTCTTGTAGTATAGATGAGATTATTGAAGCGTCCGACGGGATTATGGTAGCGCGCGGCGACCTCGGTGTGCAGATTCCCCAGGAGAAGCTGATTGTGGCGCAGAAGATGATGATCGCCAAGTGTAGCCGGGTTGGGAAGCCGGTGATCTGCGCCACACAGGTTCGTGGTTCGCCTTATAAAATTACCCGGGTTCGCCGATATTTAATACAAAACTTCCGGGTTCTCTGCTGTTTAATATTACTTTTCCGGGTTCGCTGAATTAACAATGTGCAGATGATGGAAAGTATGACGCAGAAGCCGCGACCCACCCGCGCGGAAATCGCCGATGTGACCAACGCGGTACTGGACGGAGCCGACTGCGTGATGCTGTCGGGCGAGAGCGCCAAGGGAGCTTATCCGATCGACACCGTGCGGACTATGGCCGAGGTTCCCCACATTTTTAATCAATGACCTGAAGAACCTTATGGTTTATGTTATGTATTGCAGATCTGTCTGGAAGCCGAAAAGATGTTCTTCCAGTGGAGGTTCTTCAACGAGTTGCGACTTCATACACCCAGCCCCACCGCGCCCACCCATTCTACCGCTATCTCGGCCGTGGAGATTTCCATACAAAGCGGAGCCACGGCCATCATTGTGCTGTCGACGACTGGGCAGTACGTGAATGAAGTATTTACTTTTAACTAGTGAAAAGTGTTTTCTCCATCAGGGCAGCGCGACTGATATCCCGTTACCGGCCGAACTGCCCCGTTATCGCGGTTATGGCGGACTATCGAATCGCCGCTGCGCTGCAGTTATACCGTGGTATTATCAGCGTCACAGTTGTCGGTTGGTGAATTATGTTTCGACATATTCCAGTGTGTTATCGCATTAGAAACGCTTTCTTTATTACATTATTTAAGCCTCATTTCACGGTGCTTTGCCCCTTGTTTACCGCACACTTATGTGCGGGAGTATAGTTCTCAACACGTACAGTTTTCGTGTGGACCAACGATGCAGTCACACTCTATCTGATGTTTCTTTTGCGAAGTAGTATTGTTAAAGCGTTTCTACGGTCAAAAGTTTCGAAGTAACATATTTTAGCAAAGCATTCCAGGCTAACGGTTATTCCACCGATATGGAGGTTTATAGACCGAGCACTGATGCTTTGTAACTTGTAAGGTTCTCGTTAAAATGTGATTCTGTAGAGGATGTCGCTGACTGGGTCGCCGATGCTGATCGCCGCGTACAAGTGGGTATCAAAACCGGCCTGCGCATGGGATTCGTGCGCACCGGCGATCCACTAATCGTCATCACCGGCTGGAAGCAGGGACAAGGCTACAGTAATACCATCCGGGTTATTGCTGCGCCACCAGAAAACGCCCTCACCGCTGCTCATTGAAATTTACACCGACCAAAAAAGGCGACGGTTTTAAACAGTTCCATAACAGCGTATTTGCTTTTGTATATGTTTTAACTTTTTTATTTTTTATTAGTGTTCAGATGGTGGCGCTATTTGTTTTCACTAGACAAATGTTTAACGTAATCAAATTTGCCTGTGTTGCTTGATAAATAAACGTCACTGTTGGGTAGCGACGGTACACTGTGGAACAGCATTACTAAAAGAAACTGTACGAGCGCATTGCGGTACGAGCCACTGAATCGGCAGCATCAGAAAAGCATCACAGAATTTTTACCCTATATTTGGAAGACGCTGCGTAATCCGCTGTTGAATGCAACATCGATCTGCTGCCGACAATCGCGGGGATTTCATACGGCTCGGGTTGCGAGGGGAGGTGCACCATGGCCGGTCGCGTCCACTGGAGTTCTTCTTCCAGTGACGGCCCGCGAGATTTCTTCGATTTCAACTGTTTTGCCATCTATTAACATGCGCAGGAAAAATTCACATATGTTGTAAAAAATTAACAAACTAGTGTAAATAAAAGTTAAAATAAATAAAAACTTTAGAAGCCGTAGTTTCGAAAAATTTAAAAATTAAAAATGTTCAATATTCAAGAAAATTTATAATATGTACGGTGTTTACAGTACCTGAATAATTTGAACCTTCCGCATGGCTTCCTTCCTCAGCTGCTGCAGCAGCTCAATATCTTTCTCAATCTGAATATACACCGCGATCGACGGGCAGCGCGCGTTGCGCCCGTTGGCCACGCTATTCCAGTCGTCCAGCTTCCGGGCCATTTCCACCGTTTCGCCCATCTCCTTCTCAATCCGTCGGAGAATCTCGGCGTTACTCTTCAGCTTCTCCTGGCCTTCTTGGATGTACCGGTTGAGATCAATCGACCGTTGCTGCGGAATCAGTATCTCCGTAAATAAACATCGAAAACGTTGTTAGAAGAAACAAAGGCTAAGTTAAAAATAAATATTGGTACAAAAGTTTGCGTAAGCTGCACTTTACCGTTAATTCCGCCAGCGCAAGCGACGTTTTATTATTCTCCTTATTGGTAGTCTGGATATCGGATTTCAGCTTGTCGGATGTTTGCACTAACAGACGATTCTCAATCTCCACTTTCATAAAATCCACCTACGAATTTGCAAAGAAATTTTTCATCAATTCAAACAATTAATGTTAACGATAATATAAGAGATTGTAAACCATCGGCGCGTCTGCAATAAAATTTGCATCCGTTAACTTGCTTGAGTGAGGTTTTCGCCGAGTTCTTCCTGTTTATGTAGCGTCGCCCGCAGCGCACGTATCTGCGCATAATTGGATTGGTTCGCTAAGTTCTCCGAACGGTACATCAATTCCAACCGCCGCGCTGTATCCTGCATAAGCATTCACTGATACGCTATATCTTCGTGACCTTTGGAAAAAGTTTGTTTGTACCTCGAGCCACTTGATAAACCGTTCCGCGCTGGCATTCTTGCTGATGATCTTATGCTCGAAATCCTTATTCTGATACTCCACGAATTCCTTGAACTGGTCGCACTCTTTCATCTTGCACTAAAGATCAACCATGTGTAATATATACGGAGAAACGCAGGGTGATGCAACGCACTTCATACTTGTCTGCTTGGCGTTTGGCCGCTTTCTCCACTTGCGACAGCTCCTGTCGACGCTCATCGGCTTCGTGCGATGCAATATCACCTTTCTGTTCCGTAGTCAACACCAGCAGCTCTTGGAGCCTGTACAGTGACAGAAGGTTGATGAAAACGTTTAATAAAACCATAAACCATAAACCATTAATAACACTTTATTAAGAAAGTAAATTCCAGTTCTAACCGTAGGAACTAAATAAAAAAAATTTATTTCAAATTAAGCACCTTTATTTTGGATTACTAACATCTCCAGTGGGTTCTCCGCCATTCCAGCATTGTCGCGTTCCTTGGTTTTAAATCCTTTCCCCTGGGTTATGCGGTCCGCATAACGACGGAATAAATCGGTTTCTTCTTTGAGAAACGCGGTTTTAATACTGCATAGAAAAACGATTAAGATTATTACGGTCTGGTGATGGTTGTTATTCGGGGAGCTGCATTGGTACCTCAGCTTGTCCAGCAGACTTCCGATATCCGTCTCGGTGTAGTACTTGATGGCTGTGGAATCGGGTAGATGCTGGTCTTTTAACGGATCGATGCGCAAGAAAGAAGGCGCGCGGTCCATGACGAGAATTCAGCAAAAACAGACCGGAAAAATTCTTCAGTCTAATCCGAGAGCATACACAACACATGAACCATTAATGTCACATAATCAGAAATCGAACATTATGCACTTCTTTAAAGAAAACAGCTGTTTGATGGATTTATCGACCAGGGCCTTTGCACTGTTACTATTCAGTTTTCCAGTGTGAACAGGAAAGTATGGAAGTTCGGCTTCGATCTGGGCTGTTACGTAAAATGTCCTCACAAGCACCAAATCGTCGCTTAGTAACAGTACACGCCGCAGAGTTTATTAAGTACTTGCCAGCTGTGGAGTAATAGATTAGACGTACTGTATTAAACTGAAGAAATTGAGGAAAGCAGTTTCAGACTCGCATCACGAAGCGGCGTCTTTTTGATACTAAAGAAGCCGTAAAGGCACCGCCCCCTCTTTCGCGCTGGAGTGACCTCGCAAACTGGTTCACAATGTCGCAACAAACATTCATTTAACCTCCGGAATCACGGGGAACCACAATAACGCACACAGTAACGCCTTATTTTGCTAGACTCGATCGGAATAATTATAATTTGTAATCACATATTGCTCGTATTTTTTTAAAATACATATTACTCGTACATATACTGGTACTTTCAGAATGATACATTATTTACTTGGGCAACCAGGAAGCAGTATGCTGATTTTCACCTTATCCGTATTTTTTATGGCGATTGGCTATCAGACACAATCGGAATGTGCTTGCAGATAATACAGCTGGGAATCTTTCAGAATACTCGTAATAACTGTATCTGTAAGACTGTAACGGTCGCAATGTAGCTTCGCATCACGCTTAAAAATGCATCTATGGGGATGTGTCATCCCTGTCATGCCAGTACTGTTCTGGCAAACGCAATGCCAAAAAGACGGTTCCCTGGATATGGGTTTATACGGTGATTATGGTGACGTTGACAGTGATGTGGTGAGAGAGCTTTCCACAATTTCGTCCACGGTGGACGACATCGTCATGTCGGGCGATATGAATACGAAAGGAGATTATGGCACGTTAAAAGATTTTGATTACGGGAGCCAGCTTCCATTCCCTTCTACAACCGACCCAAAATTAGCGAACGACGAGCCAACCACGACAACTTACGTTGAAAACTTGGACTTTGATTACGCGAGCGAGCAATCGACATCTTCCACAACAGATCCAAAATTGGCAGAGGACAAACAAACCACAAAAGCGTACGTTGAAAACGTGGACCTGGATAACGGGAGCGAACTGTTGGTTACTTCTAAAACGGACCCGAAATTGGCAGATGATAAGCAGACCACGACAGCGTATGTTGAGTCCATGGGTCTGGAATCGGGGAGCGATCCGTCGGTCCCTTCTACGGTCGACCCAAAGTCAGGAAGCACCAAGCAAACAACGACCCAGGATGTTAAATATCTGGATTTCGATTACGGGAAACCAGCGGCGGAAAGCGGTGACACCACAGCAAAGGTCACAACTCCTGGGAAAGGCGAGAAGACCACAACCCCGAAAAAGGCCAAGGCCACCACGGTGAGCAAGCCGAAAGATACAACAACCACCACGACATACGATTTCAGCAACGTCGATTTCAGCAATATGGATTACGATCAAATGGCTGCGATTTCCAACGCCTGGATCTTGAGCTTGTTTGGACCACCATCGGACAGCGCGACGTCGCCACCCACTGCCGATCCCGGAGCTGTGGAGAAAAAGGTCTTCGACGCCACGGATGGGAAGAGTGGGAGCGGCAGCGATACAGATTCCAAACCTGTCGATGATAAAATCGGGAATGGAACGGTAGACGATAAAAGCTGGAACGGTACAGACAGCCTGCAAGGTATGAGAGCTTTGAGGGTTTCCGGTTATGTGAACGAATCAACGGCAAACCTAAGTCTCGAGCCGTCTCTCTGGAACCGAACGCTTCGCATGCATAAACACAGAATCTCTTGGTTGCGTTCTAAGTAATAATCTGTGGCGAAAAGAGATCATCCAATTATTATTCCAGCTAATAAATTTGGCATTGCGTAGATGGCAATGGCACACTCGTCGACAGCAACATAACGACGACTACACCGTACCCGGGCATCGACTGTGATGACGAGAAACAGAAGCCGCTGTCCGATCTCCTGGATGAACTGCGCAGTCTGCCGAACACGTCGTCCGCGTTTGAACGCCGCTGTCAAGTGCTGATTATGTGCTTTAAGAACCCTCCACCTGATATGGACTTCGAGATAGACACTATTCCAGGAAATGAAACGGATGGGTCAAGCACAACGGTGACCTCGACCACAACGGTAATCTCTCAAAAGGATCAGATACTGTATTCACACGATATTAAGGAACAGAAAAATTCCCTGGACCACTCGCACTAGGTGTCGGCTCCAGTGATGTCAAGGAACCCACAGCTGGTGCGGGCGGTCCTGGGGATTTCTCTGTCCATTAATATCGTGTAAATACAGTAAACCAAAGCCAAGGTTTACGCGGTTGAAAACGAACATCTTATCGCTAATTTTAAAGGATTTACCTACGTAAAAACTAGCGCAGAAGCGCGTCGAATTTTTTATTGATATACCGAACATGCGAATTTAGTTTTGTATGGAATATTTCTTCCGTAAATTTCTTACCGAACGCTTTTACTTGGATCTTGCGGAAACACAGGGGTTTTAAATGTATTTCGAAAAATATTATCTTTTTTTTTACTTGCTGAATTTTGCGGGAATTATTTACCAGACGGTAACGGACAGTCTTCCGGACTCGACCACCCCGGATTACGGCGAGTTCGCTGATTTCACAATGGCAGACTGTTCGCGCGATACCGGCCCGGCCAATGCTTCGAGCGATCCCGACGTGCAGATGCGCTCGCTGTGGGCTAGTATCTTCCGCTTGAAACTGAATTTCACACGGCCGCTGGATCCTTCCCTGGGCTCCATAGCGCCGCAGTACAGCGAGTACGTGTCAGTGCTGTTCAACTATAACTTTCCCCGCACCATGCAAGAAAATTATCAAGCAAGTGAGACTAGAGTACAGTACACAAAGTAAATACTAGAGTACACAATCCCTTAAATTATCGAGCCTGTCGCTTTTTTTCATAATGGAGTTTTGCAATGCCTTTTTTAGGAATATGAAAGCACTAATTATTGTTATATACGATAGTTTAAATTGATCGTATAAGTACGTGGCAAGCCATATAACGGTAAAATTTTTCTATTAGAAACCGGCAAGCCTCTGGTGCGTTTAGCGCAACGCCGCGTCCGGGTCACCGGCCTGTCCAACGGCCGCACGGGTGATCCGGTGCTCAATGCCCCGTGCTACCGCAAATACATCCAGGATCAGACTATGAACTTTCGTCTGAAGAACTATGAGCCCAGCGACCTGGAGTATTTTGACATTTGTGTGTGCCAGAAAGTGGAGTTCAATCCCACCGCGACGTTCCTGGCGGGAGACACGCAGGCCGTCGCATCGAACGCCGTCACACAGCGGCGTGGGCAGCAAAGTGTGGGCGGCCAATGGTAACGGTAATCATAGTAGAAAGAGAAGAAGACTGACATACATAGTTTATCAAATGCAGTAATAGTTTTTCGGGCGCGCACTGCCGTGAGCTTTAGAATTGTAAATGCGTATACCTAATTTTCAATTCGTACAAGTGGAAGAAATTAATAAAAAATTTAGATAAGCAGTTTAACAATAAGTACTTATTGATAAGTAGACAAAATACATTTTAAATTGACTATTATTAAATTTTTCAAAACATTTTAAAGGGCAGTAAATAATTTTAACAAATAAAAATATATTAAAGGAAGACAGTGCTGTATTAAATGCAATTGGTTACTGCAGTAAATTTCTTTTAAAAATGACGCTCCCGTTTGAGACAGGATCACCCTGGACGTGACCCACGTAACACCCGACGTCTGCATTGACCCAAGCGGTGGCCAGGGCACAGTTACCGGCTGCTGCGATCCCGATCCGCGGGCGGTACCCCGCGACGATGTAGCCGCATACGCCCAGATAAACGGTGCATACTATTTCGATAAAGCCATGGCAGCCGAAATGACGAGCCTGTTTTTAATACCCAATACCACCGATTTCCAGCCGTGGGATGAGGTGGAGGCTTTTCGCGAGTCTGATCGGTGGCTTATGGGCGATGCGCGGGATCGGACCTTTCTACGGGAATTCCTAGATTAAGGGGAAAGTTACGGTATTCTGCGGGCGGCAGGCACTGCTTACTGGTGACTGCAGGAAGCTTAATGGACACCAAACACCACTAAAGCGTGGAACCAAGCGTGGAACGAGTTTCCGTACAGTTTTCTTCAATGAAGAAAATCCCTAAAGGGTTCTTTCAGACGCCGCCTCCGATTTTATCAGTCATTCAGGCAGGAAATGTGGTGCAAGTGGTTAATGCTGTTTGAACGCTGTTTATGTATCTACAAATGATCGATGTTACTATGGCAATAATAATTTGACAAGTTGGAAAACACAAGCTTTACGTTCTATGGTGTATATATTTATGTTCTATGGTGTGTATTTTTAACAAAAACAGCAAGACCCACAACATGTGGGTGTATTTATGAAGCTCAGGAGATAACGAAACCTTTCACATATATACGGTAAATTTTCTTCTCGGAAACCCAGTTTCTCCATAAACTGTAGTATTGTCATGCACAACGAAATGGACGCTCATTACCATGTAAGTTCCACATGGGAGATTTTTGCAATGCAAAAATCCCTTGTTTAAACTTTAAAGAGCTTGCGCAAGATCGTAGCCGATGGCGTACCATATGTGCAGCGCTTTAAATATAATACTTCGAAGCTTAATTTAATTCAACTACGTTCTAGTTTATAATGTTTATTATCTGATTTTATTTCCTGATGTTGTTATGCTTGTGAGCATGAAATTATTAGTTGAATGTTTTGTCTTAATTTGCTGCCTTGTTGCGCTTAATACATGCATTAGTCGCTTGTTTTACGTAATTGTATTTTGGATTTAGTATGCTGACCGCATTAATCGTATTGTTTAGTCAAATTGTAATTCTGTATCTTGTAAGAAACGATAAATCTATAGAATGTTGTGCCTCGTTTTGGTGTTGTGTGCTTCTGATGGTTAAACCGTGGGTTTTCTCTACAGTTAGTCAAACTACTGAAAGGTGGCACGATTACCCGCAGTGCCGTGGCCGTTCCTTATAGAACACCCGCTCCCCACGGTGGACGCCTTTCCCGTCCCGAAGACGGTGTCGGACTCACCGAGGCGGACCTCACCAATCCCCCGGTGCTCGTTAAATGCTTCGAAGCCGCCGATATCTTGCAGATGCAGGCGCTGCAGCACAGCCTACAGCAATTGCGCCAGCTGAAGCCACCACGGACCTTCGTGACCTATACCGACGTCTTCTCAACATACAATGGTGTGGTAAATGCTGAAAGCAATCGCACGCTATTGGTCGGTATGGGATGATTTGGGTTCGCTGTAGTAGAACAACAGCCTCCTGGTCTACGCTGTGCGCGAGTATTATGACACGGCGACGTTGGAGCAGCATATGGCGTGGATGGCGAATGGCAGTCAGAAATACCCAGTGCAGTTAATGGATCGCTGGTTGATGCAGATGCTGTATACGGTGGACTGGGCGCATCAGCATAATTTAATCTGGCTGTAAGTATTTCAGTAACGTCTTCAGAAATGTGCGAATAATGCCGATTTTTCTAGCATTAAATTCTTGATTTCTTCTAGTTATATATGTTTTACAGGATAATAAATTTAGTTACAAAATGTTGCGAAAATGTTTTTGTAATATATTACGGTCCGATTTTTATATTCGCATGATTTTGTATTTTAATTTTTCACTTTAACCTGTTTAAAAGTAATTTTCATACAATTAACTGCGTTATTTATATTTCATATAATTATGTTATGCACGTATTTATATTTCATACATTTAATCTTCAACGAAAACATTTTTCTAGAAACCTTTCAGCCAGGAACATCTTCCTGGTCAACGACAACCGCGACGTTCGTATGGTGGATTTCATTCCCTCGGCTTTCCTACCAGAGACCGCGCGCTTAACTGCATCAGCCATGACGACTCCTAAAGGTCATTTTTGCGCCCAAACATTTGCTGAAAATAATATTCTGAGGCGAAGCTTTTATAGGCGAACATGTTTTCCGGTTATTTCCACCGGAGAAATGGATCGAGACCACGGACTTCGAAGCGATCGGCTACGTGATTCTCCAGCTAAGCCTAGTCGGTCATCCCGACTACGAACTCCTTCGCCTTTCCGTCCAACCCTACAGTTTACGCCAGCGCTGGGCGTTCCTAATGGAAGCCGTATGGGAAAACCACGGATTCTGGTGGATGCAGATGATCGAGAAGATGCTGGGTGACGACTACGCCCCGCACCGCCAGGACATCATGAAGGAATTAACTGGGAAATTACAGGAGATGACCCACCACGATGAAGGCAGTGTCGATTGGGGCAGTTCCATGAATGTGGTCCCAGAAGGCAGGCATGATGCCGCGCAGTGTAAGAAGCATAATCTCCCGGAGGCCGCGGTGCTGGTCAGCTGGATCGAGCAGGCCTGGGAGTTCTTCCAGCACGGGAATATCAATGAGTTTAACAAGATCTGCAATAGCATGTTGAAGTCTGTGCCAGCCGATCATCAGGGTGCGCTGCGGCCGCATCATCTGCGGATCCTGGAGAAGCTGTGCCGGGCGGCGGATTCCGAAGGCGGTCGGTTCAGTCTGATGGCGCTCTTGGCGGGAATACTTTACGCTGGTACTTTCCCATTTATTTACAACATCTATACTTCGTACAAATGTTTATCATTTAATCCACAAAGAACAAATTTAAAAATAGCTATCCTTTTTTTATTTTTGCATTAACTTAGACAAAATGCATTTTTTTACGATTTAGTTATTTTAATTTACATAGGTTAGATTAAACTTTTTGAAACAGAATTGTTTTCTCGTTTATCTGCAAAATCAAATCAAATATTTTATTGCAGATAACGCAGAGAAGGCAGCGGCCGAAATTACATTCGACGACGCGTTGCTATCGATGCTTGGCCAACACCACAGATCGCCCAATGCAGTGTCCATGCTGAGTACCGCGTTGGCCGAGGTTTATTGCCCGAAGAAAAAGGATTTAGCGCAACGCTTAGAACAGCTGTCACTCCTTTTCAAGACGGCTTTGGCAAATCTTAATAACTGGCCGGCATTCTTCCCAACACTAATGTGCCTTTTCCAAAATGCAGTTCGTAAGTTTAACCCAATCTGCAATTACTTCTGAAAAGGTCACTAGATGGTCGCTTTGACAATTACCGCGGTGTGAACTTTAAAATAAATAAAAAAATTAAATTAATACAGAACTAGAAAAATATTATATCATAAAATATAAAACTTATTTGGGTTTTTATTTATTCTAATAAAAATAGTAACAATAAATCAAAATTAGCGAAAAATCGAACATGAACGAAGTTTATTTATAGGTATTCCCGTCTCGTTGTTAAACCGCACTCCGATAATTCCGCTGCTGATGGTCACAATGCAGCGGCACATCGATTTCCCTTGCGAAATTTACCAGTGTCTGCGATTTTTGCGGATGATCGTTCATAAGAACACACTAGGCGCCCAGATGCTAGTGCGATTCCGAGTGGACAACGCAGTGTACAGTCCGGTCGAAGTCTTCTTGGCCTTGTTAAGAAAACAGGGCTGCCTGACGCATATTCACCGTGAAGTGCTGCTGATTGCCGCGCATATATGGGCCATGCCGGAATTCTTTGCGGTGATGATCAGCGATGGGTGGTACAGAATTTTCGGAATTGTCTCCGGATTGACCAGCGACCAGGTTAATAATAACAACTAGCCACTAAAGTAAATGGATGCTTAAAGTTTTCTTGTTGTTTTCAGAATGTGGTGCGTATTATTGAACAGTGCCTGGCGGATCGGCATTTGATCCTCCTCAATGGTAAACTGTTCCGCGTGTCAGAGAATCCGTTTATTCTGGGACTGCCTTATAGTGATGACACCGCAAAACCAACAGCTTGATTAAATGTTGAGAAATGCTTGCTCAAGCATCTACAGAAACGCAAGGTGTTTATGGAGCATAATCGAGCGCTGAAGTATTATGTTCTTGATTTTGGCGTCAAAGTGTGTGTAAACTACGGAAATGATCGATCAAGTGATCCCGCGATTAGGCCCTGTGAAAGGCGTTGTATAAAGATCAACAAAACTTGTTGTACTGCAGTATTTTGGTGTTACAACTGTCGCTATCTTGATGACTAGAAAAAAACACAATAACTGTAAGGCAATTAACTACATACCTCCAATAGTGAAGTGCAGGGCTAAAAACCATTCTTTTTCGAAGTGTTTTGCGCATTCTGACCTGTTCGGAAAGTGGATGCGATTTGCTGGCACTGGGCGCGCTTCTGTTGCGCGTTCATGCGTGTATAGCCGGAAGAAAGGTGGACGGGTGCATGGTGAATGTTCAATAAAACTGCATCCACCAATCTGCCGGCTGCATGCGTGTACTATGTATGCGTTATACTATCAAACTCACCGATTCACACTTTTTTTTTCATAAAATGCGAACTGGGACCCTGACATAACCGATTCATATTTCGCAAAACGATGCTGTTAAAGCATCTCAACTCGAACTGCTTATTCAGCGCTTCGAGGGACGTTACGACTGTACACGTTGGAAAAGGAGCAAGGTCACGTCAGCCATGATTACGAATACCAGAAGTGAGAGAAACACCAGTTCATTGTGCGGCCAGATCGCAGGCCTAATTTATTAGAGCCCGTCCCGAAAGAACGAAAGAAAAAGCAAAACTAAAGTCAGGTTTGGAAAAAGAAGGGGCAGCTCCGATAATGTGTCTAGTCATGCTGCGCTCATGACAAACTGGTCAGAACAAGTCACACATGGTGAACCGCTTAGACAACATCCATCCGCTATAGTACCTATTTAATGTGGGAGTCAGTGAAACAATGTACTCGTACATCTGTATTGTACCTCTGCAGAAGATTAAGAGAAAGGTAACCACAAAATACTTCGATCATTCCACTACCTATGTAACGGTATATTCCTCTAGAAAATGTAATGGTAAGACGGTTGCCAACCAGTAAATTTGCCAATAAACGGAAGACGAGCAAAAAACGGTGGCTGCATCATTATTCTAATACAGAGGGTGTACTATAATGTTGAATACTATACGGATGGGAATGCGAGGCCATCATTCGTGCCGATATCAGCGCGGTCGATCTGGAATACAAACGGATACCCTGAGAAGTTTCGTCCTGGATCGACGCGGTACTCGGCACTCCCCCAATCGCGTGGTCCCTCCGGGCCGCCTCGGTATTTCTCAGTGACACCCACCATCAGCAGTCGCTGGCAGATCCCCCGCCAGAGGGCCATCACTGTGACGTACGGCCGCTCTTGTACCTTGAGCGGCGGCGTTGGCTGGCCTCTACTTCCGAATAATTCCCAGTGCGCCAGTTGGACGTTGCGGAGCACGACCAAAGGAAATCCGGGAGCGGGTCGCTTGTAGAATGCGGATGAAATTGTCGAACACCCCGTAGAGGTCGTGGCCCGTGATCAGTAGGGTGCGGACTAGGTGGCGCTGCGCTGCGTAGACCACCACCGGGCACGCGGGCGTCGCGGCGGATAGTGTACGTCCCCATGTTGAGAACGACATGCTGCCATGGCCCCGGGGATTCCGCCAATGACTGAGACAGTGGGCAGACTCGGCGTCGCGGAAGCTGTTGAAGGAGCTGCCGAGGTCCTAGAACTGGACTTCGGACAATAGTTTCAGCGGAAGTACCGCGTTTAGACACTAGGCTTAAAGCGAGGCTGATAATGAGGAGTGCTAGCCGTTCGCAATCACGACGAACTGCTGGCGCATTGCCACAAGTTCTTCCCGTAATCATTCTTTTAACGAACCCGTACATAGCTTTCCCACGAAACGGCGTCGCCGTTGAGGATCTGTGCGGTGCATGGGTTGCGAATGAACACTTTTAGGCACGCTGGACTGAACATCGAACAAGACCGGAAATGATGCTCACCCCTGGTCGGGGGACATCCTTGAAGGATGTGCGACGAACAATTAAACTGTGTATAGGCGAAGCCGTCGAAGGCTTTCGCCAGCACTGCCCTGGCGGCATCGCTGATGGGCCACATGCTTCTCGCTTCCTGCAGTTTCTGTTCTTTCTCGGCCGTATCGGCTTGTAGCTGCCTGATGTCGTATCCACCTGATGCTACTTGGGCATGAAGGTAGCACATCTGGTTGAAGACATCCAGCATCAGCGGAATTCCTTCGATCGTCGCGGCCATCGTCTTGGTCGAGCAGCAGTGTGTTCAAGTTCGGTTGTGCAGTGCCATCAGCTTTCGGCATTCTTCCTTCGTGCCCAGCAGAATTTCTAATGGAGGAACAAATACAGTTTTTGAGCCGTTAAAATTTCTAGATATTCTGTACTAAGTATCGACCGGAGCGCAGCGACAATACTCTTGTCCGGGCCAAAAACGAGTAAAAAACGTTGTCGGCCACGTAACAGAGGCATTTTATGCGTACATAAAATAACGTACCTGCAAACCGTTGCAAGGGTTTTGCATCAGTATGGTAACTAAAGCAAAGTTTTGTGCGCATGGAAATGTTTAGCTGCATTACTACTATCCTTGCTGTGCACCGTAAAAGAGCAGTAAAAACTTACCTAATATTTTACGGGTACCATCTTTCATAATCATGGGGCAGCACAGCTGCATATTGCTGACATCGGGATAATATTCAAGTTCGTACCACAGGCAAACACTCCCACGCCGGTAGGATAGGCAGTAATCGGGAGAGCGGTCCAGAAGGCGGAGAACCGGGAGGATCGTACCGCTGTGACTGTGCGCGAACTGGTGGAGCAATACAGCGCGCGTCGTGTGTGTAGTGTAGTGGAAGAGCGTATTCGCTAAATATAGCGCTTGCTGATTGTTATCAATGTAAACTAGCGGAGCACCGGCGACCGCGTGGCATGGTAATGATGGTGAGGCAAGAACGTCGTTCCATCTTGAACATGTCCTACAACATTGAGTTGGTTCCTTCGTAAGCTCCTCTAAACATTTTGAGTTAAATTGCAGCATGTTTTGCAGGAGCTAAACAATGCCGGCTATTACACTCCTTCATACTCTGTATATTATAATTTCTTGCTTCGGACTATTATAGTTCATGTGCTCGATTGAGTTAGAACGCAAGGTTATCTTACCGTCGCAGTGTTCTCTGGGTAACAAGATCTAGGTTTGCCATAATCTGGAAAACGACGTCATCCGGGCAATCCATAAATCTGGCATCATCTTGGTCGGGTTTTTGAAATACTACAGACAAGCATAGTATAATATGCTGATTCTTCGGGTTTCATAATTATGGTGTATAATACAGTAAATTGTATATCATCGGCTTATTTGTAATATATATACAAACCCAAAGGTTTTCACCTGAGGGGGAAAAGTCTCCTTTATGGGATTTGGCCCGGTACATAGCCCTAAATTCGAGCACATTGACGGGATTATTCGCTTTCGCGCACTCCCCAACACTTTTTTGAACTGCTTTTTGTGTAGGCAAATGATTTGTATACAGAGGCGTGAAATCCGTTTTCGCGCGCAACATCCATCCGGTTCGGGAGTTATGGCTGTTAGAAAATTCCAAAAAGTTTAAATGCATTCAGGTGTACCAAAAGTCTCATTATGGACCGATCCCTTTCAAATTTTGCACGTAAGTGCACATAACCACGAAGATCGTTCTTACACGGATCCAGACTTCTGTGATTTCTTTCGAATTTTAAAATGAATTTTGAAGTTTTTGAAATTCATTTTAAAATTTGAAAAGCATGCTAGAACAGTGGATCGGTGTAAGAACGATCTTCATGGTTACGTGCAAAATTTGAATGAGAGTGTCCATACTGAGACTGTTGGTACACCTGAATACATTTGAACGTTTTGAAATTTCCTAACAGCCATAAACCCCGGACCGGACGTTGCGTGCGATAACGAATTTCACGCCTCTGTATACAATTCTTTTGGCTACAAGAAACCATAAAGCAATACAAAAAAGTGTTTGAGAGTGCGCGACAACGAAAGTTCCCGTGGAAGTACCGTGGAGGTACACGCTCATATTGAAATACAAAGTCGAAAATATTAATATACAAATAAAAAAGAAACAAATTGCCGTTAGACATATATGTACGAGTGTGAAGCAATACTGATGTCGACAGTTCTGAGTTTTTGATATGATGTTATCAACTTATCACATGGTTGCATACTTCTATCAAACTTTTTCTGATGTTCTAGCCATCGAGGGAAAAAGTCCATTCTGCGCCAGGTTTTCATGAACCACGATTCAGTAGGGTCTATAATAGCAAGTATATTTTACCGATGCATATTGAATTGTTCGTATTACGCTCGTACTAATGCCACGCGTGAAACCGCATAATAGCGTTGAAGACCATATGGGCTTCTTTGCAGTTACCTCTTAATCTAATTATTAGGCAGTAGTGTCTGGTAATAACCTTTTCAAATCGTGAAACAAATACTTGCTAACGTTAGTTAACAAGTGCCTCAAAAAGTTTAATCGGAGAAATGGTTTGCCCAGAGCGGTTATGCTGGCTGAAGAATACCTGTTTGAGCGAACAGGACCCTTCTGTAGCGTGCCACATCTCTCCTGAAACAGGTGTCCACAAACCATTCGAACGTATGAAAGACCAGACGATGGAATTTCCGCGGTGCACTACGGATTTTCTGGCGACACAGCACCGTGATACTGTCCGTGTTGGCCGCTAGCAGCAAGGTGCCGGTATTGCGCAACCAGAAGATCTTCAGTCCGACATCCAGCTGATGGAGGGCATACGCTACCGGTGTCACCGGGAATGGGCAGGTCGGCTTACAACACGCTGCGTGCCGCACGTTCAACTTGAAGAATGTGTCCTTGGTCACGGACGTCCAGAGACGCTGTTGGCGCATCCGTATTTGACAAGCGTAGTCTAAATTGTAATCGATCTTCACCGCCACCAGCTGGGCGGGGATGCCCGACGGGATGCGTGCTAGTGCACACACCTCATCGCACGGATCCCGACATTTACCATCGTACTCCGGTACAAATAAGAGAAATCTGGCGTTGGTCCAGGTTAGAGGCTGATTTCTGCAAAACGCGTGCTATTCTGAACAGAATGAAGATTTTAGCACGCTACGATGTGGAGTAAAAACGAGTGGAAACGTGGAAACTTCAAGTACTCAAAGTAACCAACGGTATGCAAATGGAGCATGTTGAATAAGCATATATGTATCACCAGCACTAGGTTCTTAAAGAGAAGCGCTTGTTTGCGCAATATGCAGTAACATGAAGCATATGGTCTTATACGTGTTTTAATTAAAATTTTGTAGTTTCATACAGCACCGTATTCAAAACTCCCACAGTGCCGGTCTGCCGGAGTAAAGAAAAACGCGATTACTTAGGTACTTACACTCGCAATTCACCCGCTTCAATTTCTTATCAAAACGCTAAAAATTTTTCGTTCGGAAATTTGAGAAAAATCAAGAAATTAAAACGGTTTCAAGCTTTTTGTCCATTAACAAATTCGCGACGTATCAACAGCCGTATCGGTCGGAAAGTAGTGTTAAGTTTTCAGCCGATGGGTACAAATCATTTCGCTGTTAACCGAAATCAAAAAGATACAAAATGTGCTTAGGGATGTTCGATCGTTTTAGTGCATTTATTATGAAATCGGTTTCATGTACCGGGCGCTTTCTTAATTTATCTATACTAAACATTTTAAAATTTGAAAAACATGCTAGAACAGTGGATCGGTGTAAAAACGTTCTTCGTGGTTATGTGCATTTACGTGCAAAATCTGAAAGAGATCGGTCCATAATGAGACTTTTGGTACACCTGAATGCATTTAAACTTTTTGGAATTTTCTAACAGCCATAACTCGCGAACCGGATGTTGCGCGCGCAAACGGTTTTCAGGCCTGTGTATACGAATCATTTGACTACAGATTGTCATAAAACAAGAGAAAAAGGGTTTGGGAGTGCGCGAAAGTGAAAGATTTCGTGCATGTACACGAATTTGGTACCATGTACCGGGCCACTTCCCTTAATACGCCATATCTCGGCAACCGGATATTGCGCGCGCAAACGGTTTACAGAACAATGTATACAAATCATTTAGCTTTAGAATGACATAAAGTATTACAAAAAAGTGATTCGGAGTGCGCGAAAGCGAAAGTTTTAGTGTATGTATACCATTTTGACGCTCTGTACCGGGCCATTTTCCTTAACACGAATCTGTAATTGTTCCGAACACTGTCACGATTGACGTGTACCGGAAAAGCAAAGCTTACCTACATTGCTGTCCTGATTAGAACTTCCACCTCCACGTTTTCCCGCGGTATCCAGTGGCAGTAGCGTTCCCCGGCATGCTTCTTGATCGGTAGCACGCGGATATCCGAAAAATCGACACCCTGAACCGATTGTCCAGTGTGATGAAAATCGATCACAAGGCCATCCTCCACAACATCCGTCACATATCCTCGATATATAGCATCAGCGGCGACGACATCAACCACGAACTTATCGTAATATCGTGAGAAATACAGCCAATCCTTGAGAATCTTAGGTAGATTTGCCATGACGTGAAATCAGCTGTATCGCTTACTAATGATGCCACAGGTGACAGATCCAAGAAAGCACCCTACTCGAGATCTTTTGACTAGCAGAAGAACACATTTAAACTCACTGCGGTGCTAATTACAGGACTAACACATGATACATGTCCAATTTACTGCATTTGAACAGAAAAGATTTTTTAAGTCTGTATGAAGATGCTGTGATACACGCTACGGCAATAAGGACAGTACGATGCGGAATTCCAGCATTGCTGCGGAAATCGATAATCCAGCATCGATAGGGATGTGTGATGGGATGTTTAAGTAGTGTACGAGCACAAACGATCGATCGATACAATTATTTATTACTCAGATTCCGTGCGGCGTTCATGTGAATATATCGGGCTGCGGTAATCTTAAATACGGAATGTATGTATTCTATTTGGAGGTAAGCGTAATCATACTTCTCATAATCTTACTGTACTGTTATTGCCTACTGACACAAAAAGCGTTTATTTCTAATTGCGTATTACTTCATGAAGGATTTATAGACTGTTTGCGCAGTAATCCAATTTCCGGAGCGTAAGAAAATGAGTTTTTAATGGATTATGCTAAAGCATTGCAACGCTAGCCTTGTTCCGGTGTTATTCCATTAAGAGTCAGATAGGCTGTCACCTCATCTTGAACCGTTTGTGTGGTATGTGTATCGGTATTTCGAAAACAATGGCCTTGCGAACAATGGACTTCGAAAACAATGGGTACGCTGAAAAACTGAACAATGTAACCTACCGGATGCCGCGGTTACTGGAGAAGCTGTACCGGAAAGGAATCTAGGGGCTGTCGGTTCAATACGGTTCGAACGTGTTGCTCATTCGATCCATTCGATTCATTTATCCAATGTCCGTAATAATACCTCAAAACACGGGATGATTTTAAAGTTCGCAGACTTTTTTAACCCTTAATATGTAAATTTGAGGCTTGTTTATATGAACGTCACCTGTTACCTGTTTATAAGAACTTATTGGAGCATTCAAAATCCCGTGCTGAGAAGTTCGTCTCCGGTACTTGGTTCAGCGAAAATTTCCAGCGCCTACGGGATACGCAAACAGCGAGCAAACAATAATTGTTTACTCGCTCTCATAATTATTATGAGACCTACGGGTAACATCATACAATCCATTCTGCTTAAATAACACTGAGTAGCGACTTTAAAATTTCTGATTGCTCGCAAAGCGATGAGCATGTGAGTGTGCCAGTAAAGCGGAATTACAAGTACGGCTACCGCTACGAATTTGATTACCATGCCCATGATCCTGCCTCTACAGGTTTTCTCACATCAGTCACATGTATATAAGAACATGCTGGCATTGCTGGAGACTAAATGTGTTTCCTTCCAGCCATAGCCGACAGTGGCACCGGCAAAACTTTCAGCCAACTATTTGGACCCTTTCTGATGTGGAAGATTCCTTTTTGGAATCTGTCATTTATTTTGAGAATGTCAGCGGCCAACCGGCTGTCGCTGCCTACGAGCCTCTGACGCATCCTGCGCAACCATGCACTTGCGTATTCCGTGGCAGCCCAAGTGGTCGCGGGAAATTTCGTCGTGGGACGTTTCGCCACACGTTTTTCGTCACCCCGGCTAATTTTTTTTGGGATAACTCGTTTTTAGCCGTTTTGTTGTGGGACATTTGATCGCGCGACTCTTGGGGAGTCGAAAAATTATCGAGTGATTTAGGGTAACGAACAGTCATATGACTATTTGCCACAAAAACGGGATGTCCTTCGACGAAATGTCCGTAAAACCAAATGTCCCGCGACGACCTGTCGCGTAGCCGCGTATTCGAACCCGTTGCAGACGATTTATGCACACTGGATGTGTATGCGCCTGTTGCACATTGTTTACTGATTTTACTAATCAATAAATTTCTTAACCGCGAACCAACTGACTGATTTCCACATTGTGTCGTTCGAAAGTTCACAGCAGAAGACATTACACACGTTCTGCGTAAGGGCTATTAAACGCCGCAGCCATCCATCAACAGTAGTAGGTAAATGAGCTCACGCCTCAATAAAAAAAAACAGTCTGCAATATCTGCGCGCTCGGCTCAAACACAACACAATGCTAAAACGATACTCTTAAAGCAGCTCAACTGGAATTGCTTACTCAGCGCTTCCAGGGAGTAAACGACTGTTCAGGTTGGAAAAGAGTGCGAGGTTAAGGTTACGATTATCAGAATCGAGAAGCACAGTTTTCCTAATGGCCAGATTGCCGGCCTAATTTATGAGAACATCGTCCCGTAAGAACGGAATAAGAAACAAAAACTAAATTCAAGTTTAGAAATAGAATGGGCAGCTTCCGATAATGTGTCTACTGTTTAGTCATGCCGCGCTCATGGATGGCAAGCTGGTCAGAACAGGTAGACACACGCGGTGAATCGCTTAGACAACATTCATCTGCTTTAATACCAGCCACCAGCGGCGATTACGACGGTAATATAATGTTGACGGACTGGAACGCGAGGTCACCTTGAGTATCGATATCTTCTTTCTCGACGTGCAACGTCCGCCAACGACGACGCGAAGAACGATGCTGCGCCGCTTCCCCACAGTACACAGCGTTGGCCCAGTCACGTGGCGACTCCTCCATCTTCACATCGTCTACAGTCACATCCGTTAGAACCATTCGCTGGCAGCTATCGCGCCACACGGGCATTACTCGGACGTAGTGCTGGTCCGTCGCGTCGATCAAGGGAGCTGGCCAGGCGAAGTTGCCATACAGACCCCTCTGCTTTACGTGGGCCTTGTACAGCACCACCAAGGGGATCCGAGAACGGGACGCAGCGTGAAGAATAGCCCCCGCTGTGCCGAAAAAGTTGTGGGTATCTTCACCTGCCAACCAACGACCCCGTTAGGTTACTAGCAGTTTCAGGTTACGGACCATGGTTTTTTCTTGCTGAGATCGATTGCTGATTCAAAATTAATTTTTCGGATCTACAAAGCGTTTTTGAAAACTGAAAAAGGTCAAAACAAAATCTTGCCTGCCGGCTCCGTGGGCGGTAGCAATGATGTTAAAACAAAAAATATCTTCTGCATTTTCTACACTTTTCCTGATGGAATCGATTATGCTGATTTCGATATCAGAGTCTGAAAACCTTTCGAACCCTCCCCTCCTATCCCCAACACAAGGGCGGTCAGTCGAAAACTTTTTCGGTTTAATCACACTGTTTTTAAGGAAACCGTGGACTGCGTTCTGGGGCCGGAAAGCGATGCTAGGAGGCCGGTGCCACCGCCCACGATAGTGGGGCTGCGTGGATGCCGCACCGTCTCTCCGGTCTGTTTTTTCGATATTCGACTGTGCATTAAATGCACGGTCTCATTCCGTGATTTTGCTCTCTCCCAGCCAAGAATATCTTGACTGGTCGATGCTGTTTTCCCTCTGTTTTCTGTTTTCCGTTTGATATCGTCCCAAGGACGATATAGATTTGTCGGGCATTGTGCCTTTATTAAAAATTATCATTTTTAATAAAGATTGTTTGGTAGCGCTGTCGCATTTCCTTCGCACTCCTGTGCGTCGTAATCGCCACGCTTTCAGCGACTACCGTAAAGTTTCATTGGTGGTCGACAGTTTCTTGGCTTTTTCGATGTGGCTATCATGTTGCGAACGAGTTTTCAGAGAGCAGACATTGGTCGAAAATAACTTAAAATTTCAATCAAATGTTGTGGTATCATTCGAAGGTTTTTGGCTGAAATTTGTAGGACCAAAGTGTCCGAAAACGTACTCCGAACACGATAGCCGCATCGAAATGTGTGCAATAGTCGGGGCAAAAATTTACGGTGCATGTTTTCGGCCCAGGACGTCCTGCGCGTCCGAATAACTTAGCTATGTTTCAGTACCAGTAATCAGCAGCGTACGGACACCGCGACGCTGGGCTTCGTTGACCACCATGGCGACACGGGCGTCCTGGAAGCTGTCGTACGTTGCCAGGTCCATCACCACACGCTGCCAGGCGCTGGGCGATTCCACCAGCGCTTTCCACAGTCGGCACACGCGGCGCCACTGGAAGCTGTTGCAGCGGTTCCCGATGTCCAGCGACAGGATTTCCGCCAGAAGTTCCAGCGGAAGTGCCGCATTGATGCCAGGAGCAGCCGTTTCGGAGTGCGCTACTATTTCTGGCCGGGGTTCCGTCTGTAAGTCGTTAAAATCACGGGTGCTACGGTCTTATCGGTATACTCTTCAAATACTTGGTGTTCTTCGAATTTACCCGAATATGAAAAGCGCACAACCAAATTGCCCGCTTAGATCTTTGTACACGAAATTTGATTATTTTATGCGCAACACGTTTCACGAACCGACGCTGCAAAAGCAGTTTCCAAAAAACAACAAGTTTTGCGTTTTGAATTTCGTACAGAGTGTTGAAGTTCGAGAAAGGTCGAAGTAGACTACTCCGTTAGATTGCACTTACCGGTAAAAGTTTCGCCTCCGCCAATCGTTCATCCCGACGCTCCAGTTCCCGCGCAGTATCAAATGCGAGTCTGTTTAGCTCTTCGTCCCACTTGGCAAACGAAAACTTGACATCGCCGGGTGCCACTCGTTGAGTCCGGGTAGAAGGAACTATAGCACGGACTCTGTCGGCTCCAACTCCGATTTCCACCAGATGCCAGCCTTTATGCATACTTGAGGAACACACCAGCACTGTCGCCGGGTACCAGTACCACGGGTCGCCGATGGTACGCTGGTGCAGCACCTGCACGGGTTCGCCGATGTGCGGCCAAGATGGAATCCGGTACGGTGCCGGGAAACGACAGTCCGCGGCAGCGACGCGTTCCGCATGGCGGTTCGCCGAGCCAAAGTCGACGAAGAAGGCATCGTCGCGGATGGCGATGATGACGCCGTGTTGGAGCAGCTGCGTGGTGTTATCCAACACACATACGGCGCTGGCTTTGTAGGCATTGAGATGGAACATGGAGACCTGTTCCGACATTGCGCTGTGACAATTTCTGGGGTTTTTTGACTTCTCTACGTCGATGAGGCGAGGCGGAAATGAACAGGAATATCTACAAACAGTTCTGCTGTTCTAGCCGTAGGCCAATCGCCAAACAAGGACTCGCTCAGAGACAGCCGACAAACTGCATCAGAAAATTT